GGTATGAACATGTAGTAGCCTCTTGTGAAGTGGCAAAATCAAAAAGCCTCAAAGGAGATGCCAATGCATGGTCACAAGTGTTCAATATGTAGCTGTGGGATCCTAAATATCTCTTGTTTTCGTTATCATGCACACTTGCTTTATGTTCTGTTGAGTTTTCCAGTTTAAGTTGTCAAAGATAATTTCTATGTACTATTATCATTTGGCTTTATCTTATAGTTTTAAAAAAATGATTTGTGTGGATGGTAATATTGACAGTCGTACCTGCTCATCCGAGAACCCATCACAACAATAAACAGAATTTTCCAACTTATTCCTAGAATTCTTACATTCTGCATCATTCTTCTGAAAGGCAGCAAATTTCATTTTATGATGGCTATGCTCACTGTATTATGCACCAGCATTCAGTAAAGTGTCAATTCAAGGATGAAAATATTTTGACCATTTCTCACCAGCAAAGTTATGGAATATTAATGATGTTCTTATATTGACAAAAATACTTGGAGTATATAATAAGAAGAGCCTGTTGACAATTTCACAGTTATTCAACCTTGATGCTTGCTGAAGGAAGAGAAAAATGGGCAAATTGAGAAGTTGTTTTTATGCAATTCTTTTTGTATTCGCTGCTCTTTCAATCACTAATGGCGACGTTGAATTCCGTTTTTCTACAATCTATGGTGATCATATGGTGTTGCAACAAGCACCAAAACGGGAAATCGTGTGGGGTTACGGCGAAGTTGGTCAAAGCGTGATGCTGAGGCTGAGTGACAAATTTCATCATGCACACGTCTATGCACGGAAGGAAGGTTGTACTATTTTTTCTATATAGCTCTGTAGGGAATCAAGGGATTAGGTGAAATTTACTATATAGCTTCAAATCTCAAAATAAATTTAACATGCATCTATGACATTTTCAATGGCCATGAATTTGTACTTTAACAATCTTAGCAAAAGATGTAGGCTATTTGATTGATTTACTTTTGATTGATTTGATTGATTTTCTATTTGAAAAATGATTTACTTTTACTGATGCTCAAACTGCTAGCAAGTACACAAAAATTATAAATGGTTCCCGCTTAGGCGAATTAGGCAAATGCAATGAACACATGCCAGCCGTTCGTTTTTAACATTCATCGTTTGATTTTTTATAGCAAATTGTTTTTCATTGCAGAAAATAAGTTACAAATCCTGATTATATAGATAGAGATACCGTATCATATACGGCATACGATATGTTCAACATACATGGACTTATCGAGCATGACGAACACACAGGGGGGGATTTAGCCATTTAGTAATTAATTGGTATTATATATTTGAATGCGCATGCCTTGTCACAGTAGCATGCTGTATTCAACAAAGAATAGACAATCACCATGATAGTAGGTGACATTCAAACCTTATGATATACGCACAGAATAGATATCCAAATGGTCCACTTGTGTTGGAACCGTTAATGTTAGTGTCACCCATTTTTCTAAGAAGCAAATTCTAAAAAGACACGCCTTCGAGCAAGATACTTCCGCTAGATCACAATAGAAAATGCAGATGTTTTTACAAATATATCTTTTTGCTCTACAAAAGCTTGGGACCTTATCTTCTTCGCAAGATGATAAGTGTTTGTAAAAGTTTCGGCAAACTTTTGCTTTAAACGTGAATTATTAGTAAAACAGTCAAATCTATTACTTGGAAAGTAGAGTGGAAATTCCAAATTCAATATTTTAAACAAGAAAGCACACCCATTAAAATTATTACATTACTCAGATAAACTTACGCATTCGATAATTTAAGCCCAAACAAAACAGAATGAACTTCTGGTAGACAAATTTGCTGCAGTTTATCGATGGTTTGCTTTCGGGAGAAACTTACATTTTCACCAAATTATAGCAGTGACTTATATTGAGGCAGAAGACAATATCCCTTGACTCGACCACACATGAGGAAAATGTTCACTCGTGCAAGAAATTATTCAGCATTACCCATGACTGACGCAGTTAGCATCACTAAAAACACTAATAGGGAGTTTTAGCAGAGCCTACGAGTACGACTACGAGTACGATTTACGTCATTTTGGCGCGGAAACATTGTTGCGACAACAAAAACACGTAGCCGTCATCAATCTGAGTACGATGTTTTGTAAAAAATTCGTAGTCGCGACTACGATGTCTTTTTAAGCAAAGAAAGTAGGTATATGTCTTCATTCTGTAAGAAATTAGTTTACAGTACTATTTTCGAGCATCCAGGCTTTAATTTAGAACCCTTTTTGAGCGCAGATGTTCATTAAAAAGGAAAATATGACCTGCAAAACTTTCATGTATTTCGTACGCAAAGTGAAAGGTAAACAAACAATAAAATAGTACAAATATATCGTACATGAAACTTAAAATAGTGAAGATTTTTCAGTCTAAAGAGTCCTATATTCTTGTAAAACCAGTATAATCGATTCTTTGATATCATTATTGAAAAATAGAGCCGTAGCTGCTTCGCAAAAGTCGGTGTTTTACACAATAAAAAGGCTCGTTCTATTGTTTACAACTAAAGCAAAATTTTGACCAAGCGACAACGACAACAAACTTCCTCGTGCCATTCTCTTACACGGTCAAATTTCGTACTCGTAGTCGTAGTCGTACTCTTGCTAAAACTCCCTAATGTCGCAACACCTAATCAGTGCTATATGGAAAAAAATTTTCACAATTTATTTCCTAAAAACTGCATTGTCTTAAAGTGTATGTGGAAAGAGAATAAATTACATAGCAAAGCCAAACTTGCTGGCTCTCAACTCTATATTTTATTCTTACGAAGAAGAAACAATTGATCTTATTTGTAATGACTGGTACAAGAACATACGTCATGGTACTTCGGCAAGATGTTGCAGAACATATATTACCCAAGTATAAACAAACATATTTTACTTGTATTTAGTAGTCTGTAATTAACCTATTTATTAGACGGCTTTATCATCAGCGCTTGGCCTCCTATAAATATGACAGTACGTGTATGCATATATTTTGGTTAGAGATCAAGGTGTTGCCCTTGCGCCTCATTTGTAAACATATTTAGATTCTTAAGAATTTTGCTATCATTTTCATACATTTAGATACAAGCAAAAAGAAACACGCGTGCGATCAGGCCTTAAATATTTCAAGTAAAAAATAGGCACGCAATGCGTACATGTTGACAGCCTGAAGAGATTTTACTTCCGCTTGTGTTGTTCCAAATTCCAAGCTGTCTTTGAGGACGATGGCTTTGCTGGTGATCGCAAGTTTTTATGTGTATTTCCTGCTCATAGCATAACATGAGTGTGTACACGTTTATTGTTATTTTAACTTTATGTACATTCACGCAGACAAGAATTCACGGACTTGAAGAAAAAGAAATCTGTCTCAGCAAAATAATTTGTTTTAGGATAAACTGAACAGTAGGCAAAGAATGCGAACAAGTACTAAATATAAGTGCTGTAAAGTATAATCGTTAGTATCGTTATCCCACATGACATAATAGATCTTTCATCGACCTTTATATGCAACTCGATCAATCGTTTGCCCACAAGATGAATTTAGCTCATTTTATATCCTGATGAATAGATGACAAACGGCGATAACTATATTATTTTCACGGCATTAACAATTTTGGTCTTCATTGGTCAACCATATTTTTAATTATGACGTTATAGTTACAAAAATTCCTGGTATTTACTTATTTACAAAAGTTTCTTTAAATGTTGGCGAGATTGAAAGCCTGTTTTGCAAAAATTCTATAATACCAAGGTTTTTGAGCTCAGCTTCACTTCAGCAGAGAGCATTGATCTCAGTCTGAATAATACTTGGTATCATGCTCAACCTCACCCAATAATTGTTAAATATATGTATGTTTGGGCTGTATTGTTTTCTAGCTCTTTTTTCTAAACGAAAATTTCTTTCATTACTTAAATAACTTTTAAAGATTCTGGCTGGGCTTGAAGTAACTTAGATGAAAGGTAAAATTATTAACTAATTATGATACAATGAGTTAAAAAAATTAATATAAAAAAGATAAACGTTACATATGACACGACACATTGTTTAAAAAATGTTACAAAAATCATTTTTATGCGTACATTGTGGTTTAATTGGAAAGACTCGAATCATTGTCACTGTAAAGATCTTCATGTAGGAGGGGAAGAAGTCGGAGTATGACAAGTCGCGTTACCACCAATGAGTGCCAAAGGTCCATATCGTATTACTGCGTATTCATATGTAGAAGGAAGTTTCAAAACGATAACTTTGGATGATGTTTTATTTGGAGATGTTTAGATTTGCAGTGGTCAGAGCAACATGCAGTTCACCCTGGGCATGGTGAGTTTATGTTTGTTTAACGTCTAGTTCATCCCTAGGAACTCTTGTTGATTAGACTGCTGTTTAAAAGACAACAGATGCGCTTCTAAGAAGTGTTTGGGCTCATATAGTTAATTTTTAGGGAAAACACAAGTTTGAGATACATCTTATTGTTTTAAGCACATTACAATGTAAAACAAGATAAAACGACAATGCTGGATGTATTGCTTTCAAATATTTTTTGTTAGAATGTAGAAAAATAGATAGTGAAAGTCACTTAGAATAAGAATTTAAGAGTAGAGTCTGGATTTGGACGAAACGTTGGAGTTGATGTTCGATGTTAGGGATATGGTTGGGTGTTTAACTTTTAGAAAAGGATTTTATTGACAGCGCTAAAGATATTTGCTAAAGTGCAATAGACTAGTGCCCTTTTCTTCGACACGGAGTAAAAACATTCTATATTCGATTATCATATATGAGAGCATATGAAACCGTTTTAGACAGATTAATGAAGACCTTGCAATTTTATAAGAACCAACTGTTTATCTAAAATTCGTTAATTTTATTACTTTTTTTCTTTATTCAGTCGGACGATGGAGAGAAGACAATCCGTGAATCCGCCAATTATCCCTACATACGTTTGTTTTCTGCAGGCCTTGATTGCAGTGTTTTCCCAAAGAAGGAATTATGCAAAATACTTTTGCCTTGGTCCGTTGCTTCACCAGGTAGTAATCATGCTGATAAAGCAAGCAAAGAAAACTTACGAAGAGAAATATTTTGAAAATTGATTTTATTTAAATGTGAGCTGTCTTTCAACTCCCTTGCTTTAAGATGTGCTTTTGTTTGAGCTAAGCATTTGACAAGCATTTTATCGCCATTGAATTTTTCATCACAACTTATGATAACAGAACAAGAAGTTCATAAGCCTGCCTTTTGAAAAAAATACTGTTATAGTGTGTAACGAGGAATGTGTCCAGTTAAAACTCTAAGTTTTATTTCACTCAAAATTTTTCTTATTCAAAAATAATTAAAGCAAAGTTTAGTACCTGTGAATTCAATAACACGTCTTTAAATTTAATGATTCGTTGTTAAATATGACGCCTTTTTAAGGTAAAATTTATCGTCTGTGTTATTAGAAACGGTAGGAGGAAACGCGTGGGCATATTTTTCTGCCGTATGTTGGTATTATAGAGTGCAGCTGTACAAGATATTGAACTACCGAATTGGCTTGATAGCCAGTAGTTTTGAAGGAAGTCCTATAGAATCATGGTCCTCACACGATGCTCTTAAACAATGTGAATGGATTGGGGAATTCTTAAAGACTCTACCAAATTCGTAAGTCTCCTGGTGTTTTCATGTGTTGTTTTCTGTTCTAATTAGTGGCTTCACTCAAAGGTGTACAGTTTTTATCTGTTTCATTTGACTTTTAAAATCCTTACACAACCGTTATTTTATTTAAAACAAAACAATTGTTTTAAATATGTTTTTTTAAAACAAGACATGTGTTTTTGGTGTCGATCTCACAATGGTTTTTTGATTACTGATCAATACAATTTACAAAGTATCATGGAAATTTAGACTCTTCAAAACAGACGTAAATCATACGTATGAGACATTTTTTATTTGTCTTAAAAATAGTGATCATTTAAACAGAAAATGACTTTATTTTTATATTACTGTCGCTCTGTAAATACTTTATGTGGCTGACAAGCCAAGAAAGCCTTAAACAAGCTTATTTTTGATTAAAAAAAGCATGGTGGATGTCGTCAGTTAACAAATGCTTACAAAATTGCAATCATGTGAAATTCACGATTTGCAAAACGATGCAAAAAAAACAATGCGCGTATTTGACATATTTGTTTTCCACAACTATTGAAAAACTGTTAAAAGTATTCTATTACCTTTACCATAATGTAAGGAGAGGCAAAAATTCATATCAGTAGCACATCTATTACCATAGAGTAAGCTTTTAGTAGCTTTCAGAAAGTTTCTGTTACTATTGCGTTTTAATAACTTCTTAAGATTTTCTGGAGATTTCTTCACGATAAGTAAGTTAATATTTAACAGGGTTCATAATAACGTTTTCAAAAATCCCACCAGAAAAACGTCAAATATTCCGATACGACTTTGATTTCTGTTTGATTTACATTTTGTGGTGCTTGGCAGTAGAATGAATGCAACATGTCCATCGAAAACAATTAATCGTAAATTTTCCAATTAGAATGTCATAAAAACTCCATTTTGCTTTGCATGTATTTTAGAGGAATAAACGAGTTGAGCACCTTTCCGCTGTATAGTTGTATGTGGAATTCCATGATTGTGCCGTTTCTTAATATGACCATCTATGGTTCCATATTTTATCAAGGAGAAACAAATGCTATGAACCCAAAATTACTGGAATTGCCATACAACTGTACTTTTCCTGCCATGATAAACGATTGGAGAGCAAAATGGTACGCTTCTACACAAAATAACACTGACCCACAGTTTCCTTTTGGTTTTGTTCAGGTAGGTTTCATCAGCATGTAAAGAGTCCTTGTGAATTTTTCCACTTATTCACTACTAATCGTTTTCATATCTATAAATATTTAGTTGTCAGCTGTTAATTACAGCAACTCGTCGTTACATTTTGCTCAGTTACGTTGGGACCAAACAGCACAGAAGGGCTACGCTCCAAATGCACAACTGCAAAATACCTTTATTGCTGTAACAATAGACTTGGGAAATCCTTCATCACCATATACGAGCATTCATCACACTCACAAATCCGATGTTGAATATCGCTTGGCGTTATCTGGCCTTTCATTAGTTTACGGTAAAGAAAGGTACTTCACTGGACCACTTGTATCGAAAATCGAGAAGATTGCCGTCGAAAGTAACATGTTTCTTATAATAAATTATAAATCTGTGGACAAAAATATTGAAATCCGGAACAAAATCGGCTTCGAGGTAAGTTTCAAATATTATTTATAGCTCATGATGTAGGAATGCAACAAATTAGGAACATCTTATTCCGTTGACGTCTAAAATACGTTAAACTAACTATCTCGTAAAATATGTCTTGATGCCTTCATAAGGCAGATCCTTGCAAACATACTTCAAAAGCAACCAAGTCACTTTATATGACAAACTCTTTTATGAACTTTTGCGTAGGTACTTTGTAAAGGTAGATGGATACAGTCACCAATCGCGTACAATTGCAGCAAATCTGTGTTCATTTCGGTTCGTTGTGATCCGGATAAAGTTAGATATGCCTGGTCTGACAATCCGTGCGAGAAACTGAAGTGTGCTGTTTACAGTGGAGGACTACCTTCTCCACCATTTATTATGGATGGTCCTTTTTCTTCTGAAAAGAAAAGTTTAAATGGTTGTCATACCGCGTAATCAACTTTGTTTATGTAGCATTCATTTCTATTCTTTATGTCGCATTCAATTGTATTACTGTTTAGTGAAAAATAAAAACTTCAAAATTCATTCTTTTTTAACTCTTTTGAAACTACGATTTAAGAGTTACATACAATGAAAAATTGGTCTAAAATATGTAAACTATGATACGACTGATTATCATTCTCTCAATGTTCCAAAAGCTTCATTGCCAGCTTTATTTTTGTTGATACAAAATTCAATTTAAGGAGATCTTTAAATAAGTCACTGAATTATTTTCTTTTAACAAAGTGCGCTTGCACAGTCATTTACCTGGCAACAGACCAAAGTTAAATTCCCCTCCTTGTCGTGTTTCCATGAAAAAATTTTGTATGCAAGATTTTTCTTTTTAAGCAAGATCTAGTATAGCCTCCCCTCCATTAATATGAACGAATTTTTTTATATATTTACAATACAGACGGCATCTTCCGTTGTTGTATACCATTCAATAGTGTACGTCGTATGTGAAGAGTGACTTAATATAAGAGGCGAGAGATAAGTAATTTGAAAATTATGATGTTTCTTTTCGAGTACATGCAATTTTTTTTATTTCTATGTAAACAAGAATATTTCCATCATAATCGTAGGACATATAGAATATTGCAGAGAAAATGGTCACAGGGAGAAAACTGAAGTTGAGAGTATTGAGCATTTTAAGCTGAATTTAGATTCAAAAAGATAAAAAAGTTACTGGTGAAGAAACGCGAAGGCCATAAACAAATTAAAAACAAGTAAGACTGTTGCATATTTGCAAAAAGAAATCAGCAGGGCGGAGCTATATATATGAATATTTACCCCCTCCCCACAATTTGCGTTCTAGTTTCGCCCTGGCTACAAGAGAGATTGGGTTTATTTTTAATGTCTGTTTATTTCAATGTAGAGAAGGAAGAAATGTGTCAAATAACTGGTCACTATACGATATACTTATAAAATATTCAGAGAAGAAGGAAAGGTTGTACTTGTGTCTTTGATAAACGAAGAAGGTGTTTTCAGAAGTAGACGACTAGAGAGTAAGGTGCCACCGACAATGATATAAGCAGCTATGAGTATATTTAAGATGCAAAATCAAGAATTTGTTTTTAAATGGAGTTATTTGAGTAGTTTGTAAAGAAAATTGGGAGGCAACTTGCTTTTGAGTTGTAATCATTGCCTTTTTAAATTTAATGAATGCCTTTACAAGTATTTTTTTGAGTTTGTTGTTCAATGAAAGTGCATGGAAAATAGATGTGATGTTTTGGAGGAAAAATAGCATGTGGCGCTGTTAGACGTCGAAACTGGTCATTTTATCTAAATATTTCTTTGTTCACTCATTGTAAAAACAAAAAATGAAATACTAAAGATCAGTGGCCTATTTAGCAATAATTTTTTGATCACGCTATTGTATAACTACAAGGCCACGCTCTATGACGTTATGATTTTTAATATGAGAGACTTATGCGAAAGAAGGGGCTGAATACATGAGCCTGATAGCCGGCATTCAGCCAAGCGTTAAATGATTTTGGCAAATGGAAACGATTCAGTACTTATCATCAGATAAATCTTCTCAAGCGATTTCACAATATTCTGATTTATCAACTTCTGGAAACATTTAAAATTGAAACAACCAATTTGCCATAATTTGAAAATTCCAACCGGAGTGACGTACAGTGCTTTGCAAACGGTTGTAATTTATAATCTTGAAGTTTTGGCTCTTTTTAATCCCTTGAAATCATCGGGTTAGCTCGCTATCCGGGCCAGCTCGTCTCTATGTATTCAGGCCCTAAGACATTAGTACTTCATAGAAGTTTAACGTACAATTTTAATGTTCAAATAAACAATACAAAAGTCTCATTTAAGTCAATTTAAGAAAACTTTTAGTTTTTTGACTGTACACAGGATAGCAAATGAAATAATCATAAATCTGAAATGTCGGTGCTTGTTTACAAAATATATTTCTCTGGAAACTCTTAAATTTATATAATTAAGCCAATAAATAATAAGACAACAACAAATAGCCTGTATATTTCAAGATTTAAAAGACCTCATATTTTAAAATATCACAATATAAAATTAAATAGAACAAAACAATTCCACGTGCTGACTGGCAGTGATTCCAATAGATGACTTTATGGTCAAGGAAAACGACGCACCACGGAAAGTCTACATTGGACTAACTGATTTGATTTTTCGCTCTCATTACAATGCTGCCAAAAAATCTAAAACTAAAAATTACTAGTGTTACGTGCGTGGTACCGAAAGAATAACTATTAATTTTGGTTCTATTTCCACACGCAATAAAGATAGTGTGAACCAGTTATATTTCTCAAACAATTTATTAATTAATTCGTAAATATTAAAGTAGATAAGTGTCTTAATAATAATATCAATAAGTATGAGTAAAACTTATCTCCTCTGTCTGACTACAACCGCGAGTCTTTATTCTTGAGCGTTCTTGAGTACAACAATGACTCACAATAGTTTTCCAAATAGATTAAAGGCACAGAAACCAAAAGATAGTTATGGCACAGAAGCCAAGTTAGTTGTCTGGTAGATTGTAGCTTGTCAACCTACTTCGGTAGGCTATGCCTCCTAAGTTTGTCTCCTCGTAGTTTGTGCTCGTAGGTTGTCCTCGTAGGTTGTACTCAGTGGTCTAAACTACTGATATATATATATAATATCTAATGGGAAGTATTGTTGTTTTGTGACCTATATCCCATACGCAATACAGTTTTTGGAGCAAGATATAGTTAACCACAATAACAACAAATGTGGTTGCGGTTCTAAAATATGTTTACGCATGTAAGCAAGCTTCTAGCGCATAAAAGCAAGCTTCTAGATTATGTCTTAATTAGTAATATATGAAATTATAATATGATATGATAATGATATTACATGATAGTAGTTGCTATCATGTAACACTAGCCACTCCCATCCCTTCCCAAATTAAAATATCTCACGTACGCCAATGTTTCGCAGAGCATTGGAACAACAGAACACGGAAAGTCAAGAGTCATGACTAGATGTTTGTAAATGTAGATCGTCCAGGTTGGTATAGTCCTGAGATGGACTGTTTTTGTTGTTCTTGACTGACGTTTTGACCAACTTAAGCCTGCCGCACACTAATAAACCTTGCCGCGCGTACTTGTTATTCCTGGCAAGTGTGATCGACAAAATTTCCTAGTGTGCGCGGAAGTTTTGAACAACAATTGTCATTCGTGACAGATGAGTCACATATCAAACGCGTTTAAATATCACGAATAACAAGTACGCGCGTCAAGTTCACCAGTGTGCGGCGGGCTTTAGCGGTAGTCATCTTTAGAGTCAAATGAGGAGTAAACGTCAGGTTAGCCGTATTTGTTATCTGGTTCGTACGTCATTGTATTGTATGTACAGTTGTAATGTGTGGGAGTCAATTGTGTATTGTCATTGTGAATTAGTGTGAAGTGTAATGTTTTTAGTTGATCGTTTGTTTGTATTGTGAATAAGTCGTTTGTAAGGTGCCGGTAATTGCTGTGATCTGTTCAGGGGGGTTTGTTCCAAGTTGGTATACCAACTTTCTAATGTAAGCCGTTGTCTATAGTCAGTACTGTAAGTGATGCATTTTGCCGAGTCCCAGTCAATGTTGTGCTTTGTGATTCAGTGATGTTCGGCAATGTGATTAGTTTTGTCTTGTTTCTTAGTAGCTCGTTTGTGTTCAGTAAGTCTTATATTTAAGTTTTAGCCAGTTTCCCCGATATAGGAGGCGTGGCAGTCGGAGCAGTTTATTTTGTACACTGTACCTTGTGATTGATAAGGAAAGCATTTCAATTTGGTCGGTTATGAATATTGAGTTTTGATTCATTGAATTCTTCTTTAACTCAACTTTTTAACTAAAGTTTTTTGCCAATATCAAAAATCGTTAATGCTATTGTATAAAATGAGTTAATGTAATTTGCGTATTTCTGATAGCATACACTTAATTTAAGCGTAAAAGACTTTCGAGTGCCTGCCAGTTTCCCCGATATAGGAGGCGTGGCAGTCGGAGCAGCTTATTTTGTAAACTGCACCTTGTCGTTCATTGGGTTGTTCTTTGTCTTTTATGTTCGTTAGTACTTGTCGTAACGTTGTGATTGGTTTATGTGCGACACGTATGTTGTATGGTCGTAAGATACGCAAGATAGTCTCAGACGTACCTTTGATGTAAGGTATCGCTGCTGTTGTCACTGAGTTGTTCGTTTCGTTAGGTTCGTTGGGTTTGTAAGTGTTGCCATTGATGAAGTCAGAGTTATAGTTGTTTTTGTCGAAAACACGTTTGAGATAGTTGTTTTCGTTGTGTAGAGTGTCCGGTGAATGACATATGATTTGTGCATGTCTTATTTATGTTCTGATTGTGGTGGCTTTGTGTGATGTAGGGTTGTAAAATGATTGGTCTAGTAGTCGGTCAGTGTGTGTTGGTTTGCGATAAGCTATTGTTCGTAGTTTTTGATTGTCATGTTTTACCAAACAGTCGAGAAAAGGAAGAGTTCGGTTTTCTTCGACATCTTTGGTAAAGTGTATGTGGCTGTCCTGTTTGTTACGGTGGCCGGTACGGGTCACCAGAAAAATAATTTAGATAACATAACAAACAATAAGAAAACATCACTCAAAATCATACTACACATTTCAAATTACTCACTACACATTTCAAAATACTCACTACACACTTCAAAATACTCACTACACGTTTCAAAATACTCACTACACATTTCAAAATACTCACTACACATTTCAAAATACTCAAAAACACATTCTTCCCAGTCTTACTCTTGTCTGGCCTGCCCACGGTCATATTAGTTTCCATATACGAAACTGACGTGAAATCATAAAGTAAGCATATTAAATATATAATTCCACATTTCACAAGACAAACAAATTGGGACATTGGAATAAAAGCATGAAAATATTGGCTGAACTCTAATCAGAAATTCTTCCAGGGTTTTGCTGGACTTGGTCGGCAAATTTGAGTATATGAATTTGCATTCGCTAGGTTGTGTACGTACTTGTGTGATGCGTTACAAAAATAACAAGGAAACCAAAGAAGAAATTTGCACATAGCGCTATAATTTGTTGCACAAGAAACGCCAAAGAAAATGAAAAGTTAGGTAACTTCGAGTAAAAGCAAGAAATTTAGAACTTCAATACCAGTCACGTCAATAAGTGCATTAGTTAAACTAATGATTGTCGAATATCACCAATACAAATACAATTACATGTAATCTGTAGATTGACCACTCATGTTGTGTTGTCTAACCAAGACCGAGAAATCCCTGGAAGAAATATTACTAATAGTTCATGTACGCGTATTGCATATTTTGATGCTATTTTGGTGATATGTTTGTCTATGTGCCGAATTCCACATAGACAAAATATCGCCACAATAGCATCAAAATATCCTTACGCGTACTGAACTATTAGTAATATCGGAAGCCTATATTTATATTAGCTTTCTGACATCACGTCAATTTCGTATGTGGAAACTAATGACGACCGTGGGCAGGCCAGACCAGGGTAAGACTGGGACGAATGTGTAACGAGTATTTTGAAATGTGTAGTGAGTATTTTGAAATGTGTAGCGAGTATTTTGAAATGTGTAGTGAGTATTTTGAAATGTGTAGTGAGTATTTTGAAATGTGTAGTGAGTATTTTGAAATGTGTAGTGAGTATTTTGAAATGTGTAGTATGATTTTGAGTGATGTTTTCTTATTGTTTGTTATGTTTTTTAAATTATTTTTCTGGTGACCAGTACGGCCACCGTAGTTTGTTGATGTGAGTGTGAAAGTCATCAATCTCGTCTGCATGTAGTGCTGTGATTGTGTCATCTACGTAGCGGAACCAAAAAGGTAGTGCATGTTTGTAAGTCGTGAGCATGTTTGTAAGTCATGACTACGTTCAACTTCAGGCGAAATTAAATTTGGAAAAAAGTTAGGAGGGCTATAAAGGGAAAATAAAAAACTGAACATCTTTTAACTTTGCCGTCGTTCATAATTTACATAATTCAACCTTAAAGACCTAAATCTAGGTGCGTTGCGATAAATGGAAGCAGAGCCCTACATGCGAAAGAGTTAGGACACCGGAAGTAAAATTGCCCAGCGTCCACAATTTTTTTTTCCAAAAGCCAGCAAATATAAAGAGCATTAAATGGGGAAAGACAAATTTTCTGTTGTGTTTTTTATTTCATGAATAGGCAGCGATCGCAACCTGTGGAATTCAATTCTTTATAAATAATTTTATTTATTATAAAATAATAGAAAAGCATTTATTTAATGCAATGGATAAAATTTAAACACTTTTAATACTGCTTTTATTAGGGAGCACGTAGATTTCTATTCATCATCACTTTGATTTGCAATATTAAAACGCAACATAAAATCATTGTAAACATTTTAATATAACTTATCTCTTATGTAAAAAATAGTTATAGTTTGCACTTTTGGGACAAAAATGACGGCTAGATACTCACGTGATCACATTTACCCAATACCATGATCATAATGCGAAATGCAGAGAACAATACGTATCCTTACTCTTATATATACAGGGCTCTGATTGGAAGGAATTTTATGCTTGGTATTTGCAATGTAAAATAGCCACAATTCGCATGAATTTTTTTCAACTACAATGACAGGTGTTTGGAGAACAATCGCTGAATCATGGAAAGTCTAAACGTCAGTGGATTTCAAAGATGTGCATTTTTTTATACAGCTTGTGTAGACCGAAAATGTCGAACTGAAATAAATGTGGAACCATACTTCCTTTTAGTTTTGGCTCGTCGGCATTCGCCTCACCATGAAAAAAGTTGTCGTTTAAATCAGTCGTTTTTTCATCACAAATTTTAGCCATGTTTTTAAATATCACAATACTGAGCTATTACACAGCACGATATTTTTGAGGAAAAACAAGACCGACAAGAATCGTGGATGATTTGTCGACAAATTATAGACAACGAACAACTAAACAGTTAATTCTAAGTGAGTATACATTAAACTATCCAATTTTCTTTTCGCATCACATAAGTTTGATGTTTCTTAAAATATTCTAGCACTTTAAAAAGCTAGAGAAGGGTTTACACTAAAAAATTACAAATATAAAAAACAATAATTTTTTCATAAAACAAGAGTAACTCAACTCTTATAAACAGGCCAATAAAAATGTCCCCGATGAATACACTCTTTCTTTCAAAGAATTTCCGAAAATATTAGTAATCTAGGGCCCATCATTTCAACACAGATAAGAAATCTGAAACTAAGCCATAAAACGCTGCATATTTGATGCGGTATTGAAACTCAAAACTTTCTTAAATGCCCGGAGTTAATTTAAAACATTTAGATTGTCTTCAAATTTGAATCTCATTACCAAACAAATCTTACAATAAATATTTTCATGAATAAATAAGAAGTTGATAGATTGCCTGGAGTTTCCTTAGTTTTCTAAATCCCTAAACGTATGAAATGAATTTTCCAGAGTATTCCGCAACAAGGACAAGGACAAGAACGTCTCGCTCAAAAAATAGCAACAATGAGACAAAAAAATGAGAGTGCTATCTTAAAAAAAACAACTTGAAGATGCGTATTATACACAATTGTACATGCGAGTAGTGGAATAATGATCTAAATGAGATACTCTTTGTACTCAGCAATACTCAGTCAAGCTACGTATACTCACGGTAACAAGTGATTTTCAATGGTTTAATATGTGCCTAATGAGGTAAAATTTCAGGTTATAGTTTAAAAAAGACCACTCTACCCGAGACAGTTTTAGTTATATAATGTATTATGCAGATACAATTCTTCCAATGAAAGCGCGACTCATACACACTTTCTACAAGAAGTTTTGCAAAAGCCACATTCTTGGGACTGCCGGTACAAGAAATCAGCCTTTAATTGGATGAATACAAATCATCTATTTTCCACTTAGTTAACATTCTGAAAATCTAGTTAAAAACAGTTCTAATTACTGATTGTGAACCAGGAAACATGATGTCTTAACAATGCCTAAGTTCATATACACTTTTCGCTGCTCTATATATTTAGCAGCACTTTAAAGCACTGTCACTTCTGGTAAAACGCATATATGATTATTGTGTTTTCGTAGCTTTTCTAGCGCCTCAACCTCGGCATATACACATACCTAGCTACTTGGCTCTAAATAAAATCTATGGTTGTTTATATTGATACATTGAAGGCAGGCCATAGTTTTCAGATCTCATGACATATTGCCGATATGCTTTGATATTGCTACCCGCGATTGTATGCCCCACTGAGTCTGCTGAAGAAGACGTTGGAACAAAAGCAGGAGTACTCAACCCATAATTAGGTATTGCACCGGGAGGTTCTTTATACGCCAGCCGACCAGGGGCAAGAATGACGGGCACTCCGGTAGGAGAACCTCCTGCACTGATGTTGGATGGAATATGGGTGTTATAGACTGTCGACACTGCTTGGGGCATATGGGAGTACACTTGTGAGGGTAGATAGAAAAAATGGTCCGGACCAGCGCTTGGATGAAAGACATGCGCAGTAGATGGCATTTGAGGAAAATGCTGGTGTCCGGCTGCTTTTATTGGGTACCCTAACGTCGGTGAAACGAAGCACGCTCCACTAGAGTCTGACTGCAATGGAATAAAAGTAGGCAACAACTGAAACGAGTTAGCAGGTTGAAAGTTCACTGCTGGAGTTGGACTATGATTCTTGCGGCTTATTTCGATGAACTCGCGGGCACGCGAGGATCCTGCGGTGTTCGTGAACGCAGAAGCGGTATCGTACAATGTTTGTGTTTCTTGATCACGTGACGGCTGATAACTTTTACGTCGGACTTTACAGGCCTTTTCGAAATCCACCGATCGCCCAGAACTGCTTTCGTATATTTGTTCGGGTTTTGTAAATGTGGTTTCAGTAGAAGGATGCTTTCGTCTCGGCACAGCTTCGTCGACCTCTTTGTAGTGTAAGAAACTCGAATTATTGTCTTGTTTTGTTGTACAACTCGCCCTGGGTCTAACCCATATGTCACGTGCGGATGGTTGTTTGTGAGTGGATGCTTCACCTGGAATCGAATCATGTGACCTTTGGGAATCCACTTCGACGCTATCCTTTACGTTGCTATTGCCTGTAAAACACCCTGGACCGGTTTTACATGCAGCTACTGCAGGCACGTTGTGAAAGTTTCTGCCATTATACAAGGTACTGTTTCTTTGATGTAAAAAGAAATCGTTACTCATTCCTTCATTACCAGATGGAGACGAACATTGGCCTAGAAAATCAATATTTTGTAAGAATGACGAACTGCATTTAATTTTCTGCTTAGGATAACAGTCAAACTTGTGTTATGAGGTACCGTATTAAGCCGTCACAATATCTCGAAAATTGTGCCAAAAATTTTTTTAAGTGACCTCTGTTTAATGGTCACCTTCTTTAAGAGGACGCTTTCGTCTTTTTCAATGTCCCAAACTTAATTTTTCGCTGCCTTGAAACTGCTGTGAAGCATTATAGAGCAAAGTGTAATCCAATATTCAAAGCATTGGAGTTTGTCAAAGTCTTTATGTTTGACCAATTCACAAAACAAACAAAAATTCTTGACTAGCCAGATTTCCACTAGCGATTTTTTTCTCGCGAAGCGATATTTTTCAAGGCGAAAATTTCGTGTGAATGGGCATTTGTTTTCTATTACTATAATAAACCCACGAAATACAAAAAAAAGTCATGCAAAATGGTTATATCAAACACTTGCTATACGACTGTTATAATGTTATTGCTTCGAAATAACATGTTATGATGATTATATTTGCAATAACGACCAGAACCCTAAGATAACCACTTAGTCAAGATGAGATTGTATTTAATAAGACATCACAAAATCATTACACAAAATATAAATCAGTAAAAAAGTACACAGTTTATAAAGGTTCGATAAAAGAAGCACAAGTTGATTGATTTTTTCACAGTGGAATGTTTGCTGCAATTTTTGTTCATTTATATTATACTCCTTTCCATGCAGGTTAAAATGGTGGTCACGTGATTTACAATAAAGGTAACCTCGTCAATCCGGACAAAACTGGTGAATTCTAGCTACATTATAGAGTCAAAATACCAAAATTTCAAAAAGCAACAATTCAAAGAAAAATAACAGTCCTCGTTCAACAAAATATTTTAAAGCTTCTCTGTCAGTAATCATTATAAGAAATGACTGGAAACTTGTGGAATACAGCGACCAATTACTACGCTAATCGTATTGACGGAATTTACAATGTAGTTTTTTTCCTAAAAAAGCCCCGTTTTAAGAGAACTGAGACAAAGGTTTGGCGAAAAGTCCTTAAATACTCGACGAAAGGAAAACTCTGGCCACCTTCATGGCTATCTAAGGTGAGGTCGAAGTAACTTGTAATGAAAAAACTTCATAACTAATAATTACAACACGTCTCTATTCATGACTTACAAAAAGTGTTAAAAAATTCACCATATCAAAACAGGCATCCTCCAATCAAAGTTAATAAATTCTAAATAATGTTTCTGCATCTACTTCATTAATTTAAAAGAGCACTAAAAGTTCCATTTCCATATCATGCTGTTCAGCTCAGTGGCTACTCAGTAATTTAATTTGCCAGAATAACTATCTAGAGTTCTCATCTTTTTATTTTGATAGTTATCTACCGCGATGTCAACAAAAGTTGTCTCCTCATACCTGAAAAATCACATGAATTGGACCGATCACTGGAGCTGGATATCGTAATCACGCTTGGGGATGGACTATCAGGTATAAGAATAGGTGAATCAAGTGTTTTCGATGTATCGGTCACGTTCCACGTTGCACCTGGCGACATTAACATTGGGCTGTGGTCACGAGTGCTTCCATCTGTCATTTTTATGTCACTTATGGGTGGTCTCCGACCAGGGGACGACAAGTTGGGAAAGTTGTTTAAGTCGTATTCCTTGTTATCAATGTTCATTTGAGGAGCAAAGGGATATTTCCATATAGGAGCGAAAGGTCGTAGCGCTGGGGGATTCCATACAGAGGATCGGAGACCTGGTAGCATTGCCTCTCCGGAATGATGGCTCTGAAGGATGGTGAATTTTATATTGATGAGTAGTAGATCGATCAACTTCACCCAATGATCAATAAACTTGTTATATGGCTGTCTCATAGGTCATAAAAATTGACAGTAAAAGCACTGCGTTGTCAAATATGATGTCTTTGGTGGTAAACCTGACTACTATTATCCGCATACATCAAAACTGATTGGTTTTAGGATGTTCCAATAAAGATCTTACCTCTTCACGACCTCCTTGCATCTTGCTTCTAACATCGTTCTACAAGGAAAAGTAGAAAGCTTAATTGACTGTCAGTGTGCAATTTGATTAGTAGAAGCGATCATTATTCTTAAATGAAACATCTATTCTATGCCGGATCCTCGTCCCCAGAGAGACTGTTCATATCTGACATTGTTTCATTTTCCACTATTTGATTGGTAAACAATGTCTTATACTTAAGAAACATTCCTATTTTAGGAAGGATCATAATGGTAAATTCCTTTAAGGTATTGCTATAGCTCAACCGTAATAATGTCCAACGGCTTAGATCGTCTTAGACCTATATTGATTGAATAAGCACAAAGAGAGTGGGATGTTGATATGCCTACCACAGGATAAAAAGGACTTGCTTCGCCAGACATATACCCAAGATCATTAGAAGTACACTTCCCTTGGTTTCTATTGACAAATACATAAGTATCCAAACAGAATTAAAATACATCACTAAAACATTAAAATTTAACATTAAAATATATTAGTACATACGTATATTGTTTAAAAAAGACCTTGCTCAAATTTCATTTTTATGAAAAAATATTGTTCAGAAATACTTCGCAAAGTCAAATGCCTTTTTTAGTTTTGATCATTAAAATAGCGAAAATAAAGTCTCGTAAAATTTGACGGCGACAAAATCGAGAAACTACATAGCTGCGAAATAATATGCTAATATTATGACTTCAGAACTTTAAGAGTTCACGGAGGCACGAACGCTGTTGAAGTAATCACATACCTGGATAAACTATCCGTAGACGATGCGTGATGGCTATGTCCAGGATGACTTTGCCACGGCAGAATCTATGAAAAAAAATTTGAAAGATACAAAGTGGAATACAAAAATGATAGACAACATTTTTGTCTATCATACAAAAATGATAGACAATATAACGCCTGCATTCTTAAATTAAAGCAGTGACACTTGCAGGATTTTATTTGGGAGGGGGGAGGGGCGGCAAACAATCTCAAAATGTCACTAACATATTTTACGCACTGTTTTATATGACTGACATTTTCAAGTAATCTATATAAAGACCTTAGTATCGGAAATATTAAAGAGGGGGCAGCCCCGTCTAAAAATTAACTGACACTCACACTCGCTGAGTTCCATACAGAAATCTCGCTGCCACTAAAAAAAGCCAAACTCACTTTTCTATCAATGGCAAAACCTTCACTTAAACATTTTAAAAAAGTTATCAGTGATATTGAAGCTCCACTCAGCTAGTGTGAGTGCGTTTTAAGAATCCCAAGTAAGTATGACGTATGTTGGAATTAATCATGTAAGAGATTTTCTTCAGTTTTAATTACCTACTAAACAAATACTGACGTGCTCAGCTGGACAGAAGTCAGTCATTCTTATTTTTTCCGCTTTGCAAGGTCGTTTAACAAACATGGCGTAAAGACGACTAAGTGTAAGTCAGTATTTCACAAATTTTTCGTGTTATTTCTCTCAATATTTTTTAAAGATACAAGTATGTAAGAAAAAGGAGGCATATTAGCTTTAGCATCTTATTCAACATTGCACAAAACGGATACAAGCATAAACATTTGCCACAGAAAGAAAACTGCCACGAATCGTGATTTGAATAAAGTTACCTTCATTAACATTGGACGACGCGAGGTTGGCATGGCAACTGGCACAGGGTTAGCAGGTATGTTGGATGGTTGGATGGGTGTAGGAAAATTGAGCACAAATGGTTTTCCCTGCTGAGATTCAAGAATGAATGATGAAATAAACAGAAATGTATCCTGTATTAGCAATGCGCACGTCTCGCAAAGTCGAAAATCGAAAGGATTTTTCAACATAGCCAAGAAATAATGACAAAAAAAGTCGACTTCACTTTTGAAACCTTCCTACTACGAGATTAAAGACTGAAAACATGCACAAAATAAATAGATGAAAAATGCTAATATGCTAAGAAAACGACTAGCACTTCCTGTTATTTTATTGACCACCGAAACAATGGAGCAGCCCTGCAGTACAGATGCGTCTGTGTTTACTCAACGAGAAGCAACATGATCAGAAAAGTAAAATCACGACAGTGTCATGGAATTTACATAGAATTAAAACTTGCGGGCTGGCCACTTTATCCTTTTATAGAAGCACGTCAGGAAAAGATGGTGTATTCGCTTTGTCCCCAACATCAATTATTAATAACATGGAAACAAGAGCAACGAATCATGATTTAAATCAAGTTACCTTCATATACATTGGACGACAGGATGTTGGCATGGCAACAGACACAGAATTGGCAGGTAAGTTGGACGGTTGAACTGGTGCAGGATAATTGACAACAAACGGTTTTCCTTCCTGCGATTCATAAAAGAATAATGAAATAAACAGGGCATGATATATTCATTCTCAAGTTTTGGCCTAAATACGTCACTGCAATATTATGAATAACTTTCTTCAAGTCAAAGGGTCGCTATGTCATTGTACGATAAAACGAGTCCTCTTTCTCAAATTATTTCCTAGCTACATCACTACAGAAGAATTCATATTCAAAAAAGGGGAAGAAAAAAAGCAAACTTCACTCACTAGGTTTACAACCGGATGTGACCTTGACCCGGGACGTTTAGCAACATAGGTCTCGGATGCACCAGAGTGCATTACGTGGTTCCTGCGCGCCGTAGGTCCATGTGACAAATTGGACATCTGCTCTACAAGGCCAACGTTACGACGACATGCATCCATTTTTCGAAGAGCAGAATTGAAACTGTGGTAAAAAAAAGGAAATTGATATATACGGGGGCAGATATTTAATGCATAAACATATAGAGCTCAGGAATACTTCGAGAAAGTTAAATTATTCAAAGCGTTTGTTTGTTTAGTCTATAAATGGATTTTCATTTTACTGGAGTGGTGCTACAAATTTTAGGGGGTGTGGTGACCTAGAAAAGAGACGTAAGACAATGTAACGATCTAGAATTTAGATCGTTCAAAAAAAACATTTCACAGCAGCTCCACTCAGGGATTTTAGAAAATGTCCGTAATAACAGGGTGCCCACACGGAAAGGGTTGACAGTACATAATTATACTAATAGCTTTTCTCAACACTCTGCTATAGGGGGTTAAAGCTTCAGAGCCATACGTAAACTCACACATATGTAAACACATTTACAAAAATTATTTCAATGACCAAAGAAAATGCTATCACCATGTGCTTCTCATAACACCACGAAGAGGAGTTTCAAACAGAGTTCATTATAATTCAAACAGAGGTAAAAAGATGACACTGCTTTCAAACATTCACATCGCTTTTAAACTACATATAACGAACTTCGATAAAAAACTGTTTAATATACTTCTAGGCCATACTAACACATCACTGTTGCTGTAGTCCGCCAAATGAGTAAGGGTAAGAAATGGATGGCTTAGAGCCGCATCTGGGGTGGTCCGTTTGTCGGGATCAATGGACAGAAACTGCTTCAGTAGCTTGACAAACTCGTTTCTAAAGCGATAAGACAACCGATACGATGCATTTAGCTAAATGTGAAGAAGTATTTCCTTTATTTAGCTACTTTTAAATTGGGGGCATTTTTAGAAGGCGGGGGCATTACTTAAAAGGCGATGGGGACTAAATAAATTTTCACACAAAATTCAAAGAAGGAAATCACGAAAGAATTAAGTATGATTTTCTCTCAAATTTTTACACGAAGCAAGTGACTATTTCGATTTTTACATTTGTAAACATCAAACGAATAAACGCTTCTATCACGTATTTCCTTTTGTTTTCATTGGGATTGATTTCCTGGTAATTTTTTAGTTGAATGAAAGTGGAGTGTATAAAGAGGGTAGGGGTCCATTTTTTGTTACCTTTTAAAAGGGAGATTATTAGAAAGACGTCTAAAATGAGGCCGGGGCTACATAGAGCAATACAATATGATCATTTTATGCACGCGACATTGCTGAAATTTGAAAAGGCTGTATTCTCAAAAAAAATAGGCTACGATGATAAAGTTGTTTTTCCGATGAGGGATCACTATCGGTAGCCATCTCATAGCTACCTCATACTAAAAAATCGCCTTAATTATTGCCTCAACGGGCTCCACCACACAAGGTGAATTATACTAAATATTATATCAACAGGCTCCACCATACAGGGTGAATTATACTACATGTCGTCTCAACAGGCTCCACCATACAGGGTGAATTATACTACATGTCGTCTCAACAGGCTCCAACATACAGAGTTAGTTATACTACTTGTCGCCTCAACAGGCCCACCATACAGGGTGAATTATACTACTTACCCTCTCAACAGGCCCACCATACAGGGTGAATTATACTAATTGTCGTCTCAACAGGCTCCACCATACAGGGTGAATTATACTACATGTCATCTCAACAGGCTCCACCATACAGGATGAATTATACTACTTGTCGTCTCAACAGGCCCATCATACAGGATGAATTATACCACTTGTCCTCTCAACAGGCTCACCATACAGGGTGAATTATAATAAATGTCGTCTCAACAGGCTCCACCATACAGGATGAATTATACTAAATGTCGTCTCAACAGGCTCCACCATACAGGATGAATTATACTAAATGTCGTCTCAACAGGCTCCACCATACAGGATGAATTATACTAAATGTTGTCTCAACAGGCCCATCATACAGGATGAATTATACTACTTGTCCTCTCAACAGGCTCACCATACAGGGTGAATTATACTAAATGTCGTCTCAACAGGCTCCACCATACAGGATGAATTATACTAAATGTCGTCTCAACAGGCTCCACCATACAGGATGAATTATACTAAATGTTGTCTCAACAGGCTCCACAATACAGGATGAATTATACTAAATGTCGTCTCAACAGGCCCACCATACAGGGTGAATTATACTAAATGTTGTCTCAACAGGCTCACCATACAGGATGAATTATACTAAATGTTGTCTCAACAGGCTCCACCATACAGGATGAATTATACTAAATGTTGTCTCAACAGGCTCCACCATACAGGGTGAGTTATACTAAATGTTGTCTCAACAGGCCCACAATACAGGATGAATTATACTAAATGTTGTCTCAACAGGCCCACCATACAGGGTGAATTATACTAAATGTTGTCTCAACAGGCCCACCATACAGGATGAATTATACAAATGTCCTCTCAACAGGCTCACCATACAGGATGAATTATACTAAATGTTGTCTCAACAGGCTCCACCATACAGGATGAATTATACTAAATGTTGTCTCAACAGGCTCCACCATACAGGATGAATTATACTAAATGTTGTCTCAACAGGTCCACCATACAGGGTGAATTATACTAAATGTCGTCTCAACAGGCTCCACCATACAGGATGAATTATACTAAATGTTGTCTCAACAGGCTCCACCATACAGGATGAATTATACTAAATGTTGTCTCAACAGGCCCACCATACAGGATGAATTATACTACTTGTCCTCTCAACAGGCTCACCATACAGGGTGAATTATACTAAATGTTGTCTCAACAGGCTCCACCATACAGGATGAATTATACTAAATGTTGTCTCAACAGGCTCCACCATACAGGATGAATTATACTAAATGTTGTCTCAACAGGCCCACCATACAGGATGAATTATACTACTTGTCCTCTCAACAGGCTCACCATACAGGGTGAATTATACTAAATGTTGTCTCAACAGGCTCCACCATACAGGATGAATTATACTAAATGTTGTCTCAACAGGCTCCACCATACAGGATGAATTATACTAAATGTTGTCTCAACAGGTCCACCATACAGGATGAATTATACTAAATGTTGTCTCAACAGGCTCCACCATACAGGATGAATTATACTAAATGTTGTCTCAACAGGCTCCACCATACAGGATGAATTATACTAAATGTTGTCTCAACAGGTCCACCATACAGGGTGAATTATACTAAATGTCGTCTCAACAGGCTCCACCATACAGGATGAATTATACTAAATGTTGTCTCAACAGGCTCCACCATACAGGATGAATTATACTAAATGTTGTCTCAACAGGCTCCACCATACAGGATGAATTATACTAAATGTCGTCTCAACAGGCTCCACCATACAGGATGAATTATACTAAATGTCGTCTCAACAGGCTCCACCATACAGTGTGAGTTAAACTACTTGTCGTCTCAACAGGCTCCACCATACAGGGTGAATTATACTACATGTCGTCTCAACGGGCGCCACAACAAGGGTAAATTCATAGTATTTGTTGCATCACTTTAACGAGATCGCAGTTGTACAGCTTGCATAAAATCAAAACTCATTAATATCAACAAAACTAACTCTTAAAACTTTCGGCAAGTCATCGACAGACAAATAATCAATATTTGAATCTAAAACATTTTGATTTACCGCATAAACCACTTATTTTTAGGTCAAACAATTACATTACACACCTTTGCATAAAGATCAAATCTTACATCGCATTTCACTCACAGCACAAACGCTGTTCATTAGCATTCGAAGATTTAATAAACATAACAACGTGTACTTTATTTTTAAAAACACTAAATCGTTCATCACTTTAATGTGTAAAAGGCTCTGTACGTAGTATTATTAATATATAAAAGATAATTTACTCGCAGAAATCTCAACTTTATATAAAATGTTGTTGCAGAATGCAATATCTCCATAGTTAAAAGTAATCCTGCGAGAGACAAATCTGGTATGGTATGAACAGAGCCATAGTTCAATACTTTGCTCATAATTCAACATTCGTTGACGCTCGGCAGCAATTGCTTACGAAAAATTCTGCCTGCAAACCGCCAATTAGGATCTTAATGAAAAAAAGCCTCTTAACATATGCTGTTTCTAATCGGTGACTTAAAATAGCCAAATTGAAAAACAACACCATTGGTTTTCTATGACAAGGAACGAAATCATACGAAAATTGAACGGTTTTATTTTATTTTAACGTACGTAACACAAAAGGCGAATAGTTTGAAAAAAAATGTTAAAAAGCGCACTGATATCGTATCATTTCGTACTCATAATAAACGGTAAATATCTATACCTGTCTGCCTTTTCAGCTCTTTTGTCGATACTGGACAAGCCATTGGGAAATTTTACGTCAGCAATCTCGCCCAAATCTTTGAAAATGTATTTCCTGGCTTCCTGAGACTTCACTTTTGTTTCTTTTTCATATTCGAGAGGACTCTAAATACAAATAAAAATTTAGCTGCAAAAATTCACACGGAACTAACATTTATAAACATAGATAACCTGCTACGATTTTCGCGAAACAAGAAGGTCTCGTTATATTGACAGGAGGTCCTATAGTGTGGCCATATATTAATAACTTATTATTAAACATGTGTTGATCTGTGCAAATTGCTTCCCACTGCTCCGAATGTTACAATTTCTTAAAGAAGGCGGGGCTGTCCAAGCTCAGAAGAGCGGATCTGGTGATAAAATTGTAACACTGGGTCTCGCCATCAACAGATTTAGGTTAAATTAGAGCACGTTAAACATATATTTATCTAAAATTCGAAATTCTTTATAAACAATCCTATTGATAAAATTTCTTATTCTAAATATTCTTCAGAACTTTTTAACAAACAGAATTACATTAAGCAATTGAAATAAACGACGAAATTTTTCATCATAAACATGATTATGATAAAAAATTTTGTCGTTCATTTCAAATGCTTAATAAATCTCATGCTTTTGAGATCATATGGAAACAGAATTACAGTTATGATGTTTTGAAGTTAAAATCAGGCGCTGTAATTTAACCCTTGATCCGCCACTGGGTCTTCGTACATTGGTGGTAACAAGGGGGAATATCTGAAACGGCGGACCAAGGAGGGCTGCGGAAGACAGAGACCCATCGACGGTATTCAGAATAGGGGGTGGGGTTAACGAATACGCCATTAAATGATTATTTATATATATAGTCCCTGTATATATAAATAATCACTTACAAGGTAGAGCTCTGCAACACGACTGTTAGAGTTATAGTCGGAAAATCTCTCAAAAACAAGCACAAAGACGAATACAACACATCGGCGATGTTTTTCTACATTTGTCGAAAAAATGACGATTGCAAATTACACTGCGCATGTGTTGCGACAAATATTTATAAATAATCATCGTAAAAATTGTCTTGTTAAGATTTGCATTAGGACAGCTAAGAGAGGCAAGTCCAGCTATAGGGAAAACAAATTGCCACAGCCTATTGGTTGAAAGGATTTTATTCTATGGATTTTCATAACCAATAGCACCCTCTAAGTATGAAGTGGTATATTGAATTTAAAATTTTCTGCTATAATTTATTTTCTCTAATCCTGGATATGCTACTGATTTTTGTGATGCACAGCTCTTAACTTTACCACAGACAATGCATTATACAAAAGGGTCACTCGGGTGGGAGCCTTTGGATATTGTCCCCTCACACTGTCGCACATAAATCGATCGTTCCAGCCAGTTGAATATAATATTTCACATGAAACCATTAACGAAAATCACCCGAAGTCATTTCTTACGTCAATATGTTCTCGTACTCATTACTTAGAAATGACGTCATGTTATTTTAGATGTTGGAAACAAGTGGCAAATCATTGCACACCAGAGTGACCCTTCTGCATAATCGTCATCCTGTGACTTTGCTTCGAAGAAATTAACAGAAAAGAAGCAATAGACATTTACCTTCAATTTATACTCCCATGTTCTAGTGGAGTGATTGAAATGAGTTTTCTTGAAAAACCGGGAAACCTTTGTACCGACAACAAGCAACTCAAAAAGTCCAGCATTTCCTTGAGTCTGGATGATATAACGAATCTGGAAGAGAGCGAAGAAACAAAAAACGTGATACTCCTAAAGTGGATACACCAAATAAACCAAAAACCAATGATCAAGAAACTGGCGTAGCTAACCTGATCGTATTCTGACGATCCAGGATACAATGGCCATCCCAAAAACAACTCGGCCATGACACATCCCAGCGACCACATGTCAATAGCTTCGGTAAACTGTAAACCAAGTATCACTTCAGGAGCTCTGCGTATCGCCAAAAGAATAATAATAGAGTTGTTAATAAGTGGATGGTTTGAACCCGGTTGCATCGCTGCATGTTTGTAGATGTTGATCGTCCAGAATAGTGGAGTTCTGAGAAGGACTGTTGGTGTTGGTGTTGACTAAACTTTTGACATTCTTAGCCGCAGTCAACTTGACTCTGCACTTACCTGGACGATCAACATGAGATAACAAGCATTGCTAATGCTGCACACTGCAGTAAAGATGTTCTCCGATTGGGAGCACTGAATACCGAAATGCGGTGTTCTTTAACGGGGAAACGCTGTACAAAAGAAGATTCAATACCGAAAGTAAATTCGTACGTGGTGCCAGCGCAAGATAATAAAATTAATGAATAGAACACATTTAGCATTAAACAGACAATCTCTTTGTTTCCCATGCACGGATTTCCCACATAAAAGTGGGGGCCGCTACGAAGAAAAGACCATTTAAGAAAGTCGAGAATCCTCGGAAGCAGAAACAGGATATTGTTGTTTTAAGTAAGATTCGTGAAGCTCCACCCCACCCCACCCCAACCCCCTTTTCGTTAAATGGGCGATTTTAAACTATATGTGAAGCCATTCTTCTACCCTTTCTTATAAAATGGACGACTACAACTTAAGTTAGGGCGGAAATGTTAAAACAACAGCAGAATGTGTTGAATTTCAAAAATAGTGCTCGAGCAAGAGTTCATTGTGTTATGGTAAATTACTGATTCCTATCTCTTTCCAGACAAGTTTGAATATGACTTCAAAATGAGATTCTCACCTGTAATATCTGCTTTGGAGATATGTTGAACACACGGTGTTTGAAACATGTGTCGCAGAACCAAAATCAATGACTTTTACCCGCAAAGGAAACTTTTCAGGATCCACCAACATGATGTTCTCCGGTTTCAAATCCGCATGAATCAGCCCCAAAGATTTGAGTTTGGACAGCGCCATCAATACTTGCTGAATGATCGGTCGGATTCGCTTCAGGGGCATGGGACTGAACTTCGTCTGCTTGAGATAATCGTAAAGGTTCTGCTTTAACATTTCGAACACCAAACACGTGTGGCCTTTATGTTGAAAGTACTCTATTGCGCGGACAAAGTTATAAGCATCGGCATTTTCGGCGCGCAAACGCGCCAAGATGCTGATCTCGACCTGGCCCTGGCGAACATAAGACGGGTGGTTTTTTAAAATTTTAATCGCAACGCATTCATCGGTGCCTTGTTTCCAGCACTTGACCACCTGTCCAAAGGTACCTCTGCCTAAAAACTCCAAGACTTCGTATCGTACAAGTGAAGTTGGCGATAGCAGTACTTCGTGTTGTACGAGTTTGTAATCACCTTCGCTACTTTCATTGTTCAGCTTTTTCTCGTCTTTTCGTCTTTCACTGCTGTGTTTGCAATGTTTTCCCATTTTTAATTGATGATTAGTATCGTTAAAAAGCACTTATATGTGATTCAAAAGATTGGTAAAAAATTCCTTGATATTTTTCAATTGTTAAAATATAAATAAAATACCACTTGGAGAGACCAGCTCCCAGTAACAATTGCTAAGAGATTTCTTCATGTTTTAAAATTCCCCAATGCAGTGTTTGCAGTTCTAATCCCGTGCTTCGAAAGCTGATGAAAACTTCAGACCAACTGATAACATGGACGACATACTACAAGGAACGTATCACTTTTCGTCGGTGCTTCCACGAATGTGCTCATTTTTCCTAACAAATGAAAAACACTGTGTCATAAAGTGACCGTCAATTGTTTCGTCATAATGGGATATATTGCCACACACTTTTCAAACAATGTTATACTAACATTCATCCAGCATGCATGACAGACAGACCTTTCATGTCGAGGATTTACGGCGCATATAAGTAGTAAATCTCAACAATTCATCTCCTGTTGACGAGGTTAAATAAAATTTTGAACGTTCTACGAAACATATAATCCCACCCAACTTTTAGCAAAACCATTAGTACAGCTGAACTAAGTTTTTCTGGGCATTGTTTCAACTCCATACACTACCTTCGGTGGCTACATTACAAGACCGCTCCTAAAATCTAGACCTTTACTTTTACATCACTTCCTTACCAGCTCATGCCTCCCCCCCCCCCAAAAAAAAATTTTAGCAGCTACCATGCCCTGTAAAAAATATGAAAATCTGTCCGTGAAATAGACCAAATAAATAATTTAGCACAATGCACTAAAACCAAAGATCTTCAATAAAAAGATTTGATTTTCAAATTTGCAGCAAATCTTCGCAGATAATTTTGTTACCAAAGAAAACACTTGTTGAAAACTAAGGGTAGTCGAACAGTGGACGATAGACTGCAAATGGCATTCAGCCGCATTCTGCACGGCAACATTTCATATAGACAGTTTCTTTTTGAAAATAAAAGAAAAAAGAAGTGCACGAAATTGCTCTTTTAATGCACTGGAAAGCTGAATGTGAAAGAGTAAACATGAGCTATTGACTGACAAATCACTTAAACACTGACAAAATCTATATCAACCATCTGTAAAAAGCGATTGAGCGCACAGCTTATTTTTTACATATAAAAAAAAATACGTACGAAAGGCAGTTTCTAGTCGAGAGCACACAGTCCAAGACGTGCATTTTTGTAAACTTGCCACACAATTTTGAATGTTCATTACATCAAGCACATTCAACCACCAATTTAGATGATTGACCACATTTTCTTTTAAATTGACCTATCAAACTCTTTGTATTGTACATTTGTAAATTGTTTGTTTTTATTGCGTGGCTACAGAGCTTCGGCACTTAGAAAATAAACATTTGTAACCTAGTAGTCGTTAACTTTGACTATTTGAATCAAATGCTCTAAGGTAATGAAGAAGATAAAAATCACACATTATTGAACTGGTACAACTAACTTCAATATTTCAACATTAATTCATGGTTCTATGCAAACATCGGAGGATTAAAAAATTACGGCCGAAGCCGAAGCCGATAACCATCAGTGATTAGTCGCTACAGTTTCACAAGAAAATAAATATAGTACAGACTACAAAGCAATTGAGAAATGTTCAAGACAAATATAATAAGTTAATAGTGATATCAAGACGAATATAATACGCTGCAACTCAGTAACGTTTTTTGTTGGTTTAATTTGATCAGATTTTATGTTATTTTTACGTTCAAAAAATAGACGTAAAAATTCAGTTGTTCCAGGTCTGTTCAACCAACAGTTATATGAACAGCTCGCGAATAATTAAACTTAGCTTCACGGATAAGTACTTCGGAACAGTTTTGTAAGTCATCTTTGTGAAGCGTGAAACGAGACAATAAAATTAATAGTCGTTATTTCAAAGCCGTACGAAATTAACACATTTCATGACACGTTTTAATGGTTTTCTGTTGCATCATTAGAATTGATGAGCCAGCTAATGTTATTATGACGTTTTTTATTTATTTACGAAGTTAAAGATCGAATGAATTCGGCAACTAATCATGAATATTGGCTATAGTTTCAAACTAGCAAAAATCATGTTAATGAATCTTTTAAAATCATACAGTCGCAAATGACCGTATACATAACCCTGGTTAAATAAAAATAAAGTTTACAACAAGTAAATGAAAAACCATGATAATTCCCAAAACATACATTTTGATGAATTTGTACAAGATCATGGTGATTCATTTACTTGATGTAAGCTGACTTTTGAGTACATTTTTCACACTGTAATAATCCTGACTACAAAAATTTCTTATGCTGTATGCATTTAGTCCAAACGAAATGACCAAAACCCATATACGATTGTTATACAACAACATGTACAGTGTCATTAAATCCTGTCATGGACAAGTGACACAGCATGATGGCATGAAATAACAAAACAATAGGTAAAAACAACGAAATTACTTTTTGGCAAAAAATATTCAAAAAAACATATAAACAGCAGTTCTCCTGTCAAGTGTGTGACACTCATACTGTAAATATTTTGTTATATTCTTGGCTCCAAGCATTGGCAACAATGATGAGTTTTTGACAATACAAAGAATAGGATATTTATTGTGTCTTAGAGTAAATTTATGTGAAAACACATGCTCTTATAGTATTTCACAATCCTTCTCATGGATACTCATCTGTGCGATCCAAACATTGAAGTTTTCTATGCACTGTTTTACAAAGAGACACACTCTGGGGACTTTATTATGGCAAAGTAATGAAATTATTTTCAAATTATTACATGAAATACTACATGTAATAATTCTAACTTAAACAGTAATATCATCCCGCATAATACATAGTAGTTTTGAAATAAGTACTTTTGAAATATCTCCATGGTAACTCAATATTTACCACGAAGGATATAAAAAATTATATTGCCTCTAAAACTCACACAGTATAACGAAACAACCCTCAATGTTGAATAATACAAAGGACATTCAAATTATTAAAAATCAAGCCTAGTTTGCTCATTGTACTTTGGCGAAAGTGCATTCCCAAAAACAAGTTTTAAAAGTCTCTGAAATATTGCTTTTATAAATGATGAATAAGGAAAGCACGTTTTATGGATGTCAACAATATTTAAAAATAATTGAAAAAATCCTTCTAATATAACAATTGATAACAAAATAATTTTAATTCTTCCTTGCAAAAACAAGGAGAGTGTTATAGACCAACAATGGCTTTTTAGAGGAATGTTGTAGTTTGGATTAGATTTTGTTGGTTACTTGTTGACACACCATAAAGGCTTATGCAAGTGTGTTCTTTAGTTCGAATTACATTGCTTGTATTCTAAACTAAAACTCTACAAAACCACATTGAAAAATCAGACTTCATACACTGTTTTACAGTGTTAAAATTTAATTGTTATCATTGCCAAGAAAACTATTGATATTTTTCTTAATAAGTACAATATGCTCTGCCACTTGGAAAATGCATTTGGTCATAAAATGAAGAATGATGAATAATAGCAAGCATCTCTTAAGAAGCTCAGACGTATAGGAATGTTAATGCTTAATTTGGCTAATCTTCATTGTGCTTTAGCACAGGTAGATCTAATGTTTATCATAAACGTACGAAACAGGATAACCCTGTCTGCTCTATGTCAATCGAAAATCATTTTGGAAACGTTCTATTGACGTAGTTTCTTCAAAAAAATTCTTTTCGAAACACTCGATCAGTGCAAAAATGAAAAGCATTTAGCAGAATACGACTCAGCGAAGTACATGCACCGAAAACGAAATAAGAACATATACAAATATTAAAATACAATAGAAAATAACAGAAGGTCACACACTTACCTTACAAATTTCATACGTTAAGTCCCAGTTTGCCATTCAATAAATTAACTCTTTATCCAATCGTCAAACGTATTCCAAAATATAAAAGAATAAAAGCGATATTTCAACTGGTGGCGAACGTCGCGACGTGACAAGCTTGAACTTTTATATAATCACAACAAAGAACAATGACTGATATTCACCAGTATACCAAACGTAGAAAACATTTCAGAACATTTACAACAAATACGTCGAAGTTGAGCCTTCCCAAACCATACTACATTTCCCAATCCCTTAGAAATGTTGATTCTTTTCGGAGCTGTAGTTCACATACGATACGACAAACAGACAACGATATAATATTGCTTTGGCCAAGGGCTGTATTTATTAATATTTAATTATTTTATATACGTACCTTATTGCGGGTAACATGACATATAATGTAGGATTTGGCAACTTTGGAAAATTCTTCCCAGATCTCCGAATTTATTTAAAGCGGTTCGAAGTGTTTTGGCATTTATATTCTTAAATTACATTCTCGAAGATTTTTGCGAAGGAGAACTTCAGAAGCCTGTTGCACTTAGTGTTATCCATTGGATGGAAAAATTTTGAAACTTGTTAAAAAAGATTTTGTAATCTACTAATCTTAGAAGCAACACTTTATTTCAGCGATTGCTCTGTTCAAATCATGTATTTTCCTCTTTTAATTAAGGAATTTTGTAAATTGTAAGCGTTTAAAAATTTTGCTATCCGATGGAAAGCGCCATTCGGCTTTCGTGCAACCAGCCACAAGATTTTAGGTTGTACGAATAACTCTTTGAGGGGAGAGGCAATAATTGACAAATATACGATTTTGCCGCACTTTACTGATGTTGCGTAAACCAGACAGCTATCGATAGCTCCACTAGTAGAGCAGTGTGAGTTATGGACAGCATTGGCGTCAATCCTGCGATAATTGGGGGGGGGGGCTCATATTCATATATTCTGTAATGCCAAGTTGATTTCTTTTGAAAGTGAAATTGTTTTGAAAAGAAATTAGCCAGGCATAACAGAGTGTATGAATATGACCCCCCCCCTCCAAATTAACACAGGAATGACGCCAATGAGGGAAAAGTTCTTGTAAGAATTGCAAGAAGCTGAGGGTGAGGACTTAATAATATATATAATTAATGATTCATATTCTTATACAACTGCACACCTATGGTTAGTCACGTTAATAATATTTTTGCTAACAAGCACCTATACTGTGCAAAATAGAGTATTTGCCATTCATAGGACATTCAATATATAGTACTTTTGTCATATATGTTCATCGCTGAAGTGAGGGGCGTTTTTCCCCTTAGCCTCACTACCATGTCTAAACGTACATATACGTAAGGAGGATGGAAAAAAGTCGGTCTAGTTAAAATTAGTGGGTTTTCTTATTTATCATACGTTGACAATAAAATGCCGGTTACATATGTCTCAGGAAATGGAGCCTTGTCCTCCGACTAATTTTTTAGAATATGCAATATTGCCAAAATCAATTTACTAAGAAGAACAAATGTAATTAAATAGAAACAATATAAATCTAAATGTAGATGAACAAATGTCACGAATGGCCTCTTAATGAGGCTTGCACATTTAAAAATAATCTTGCTTCTATTATGGACTGACGATAAGGTAGATTATCGACAATGGAAAACAAGGGCGGCGGAGCACTGATAATAGGGGGGGGCATTATTCATACATGCATGTTTTACTTTATTAGTTTCTATTGAATTCAATTGTGTTTAAGGATTATAAAATATGAATATATGAATATAGCCCCCCCCCCAAATCATCAATGTTCCGCCGCCACTGGTGGCAAATGAAGCAAAACTGACTTGGACAGTTTTTGGCAATGCTGGACTGCCCTGTTCATGACTTACCGGGAAAACTCAGAAAGGATGCAGTTTGTAGCAATTAGCAAGTAGCTGTTTATAGAGACGGTGTAAAATAAGAGTATGATGTGCTGTTGTATCAGGCATAAATTATTGACGGTCACGAAGTTACAGCGAAATAAAACCCTAATAAACTTCATGACTATATAATACAACGAGAAATAAGATTTAGCTCAATCCGTGATTTGAGAATTGCATATCATGCTCCAAGCACAAGGTTAGTACCGCTGTATGAAATGCTTTGGCTTAAATACTATGTAAGAAGTAGAAAAACTCCCATTGGCTAGCAAATTGTTAACAAGTTTTAATGGCGCAGACTTAAAAAAAGCTAGCCATAAATTTAAATTGTAAGTTCACAAGAAAAATGCGCAAATTGCTTTCGAATTCATAACAATAAATCCAGGAGGGGAGAGTAGCTTACCCCCTGTCATTAGAATTTGTAGTTTTTTCTGGCAAAACTTAGCTATTGGTCGGTCAAGAAAATGCATGATAGAAGCCCTGGATCTGTTCATCAATAAGTATAGAGATAACAAGAAACAGTTCTTCAGAAAAGATAAAACCATTGACACATCTTCTCCAGTCACCATGCATTAACAATACCTAGTCAACCTAGAACAATTAAAAGAAGTCGTTGGGCTTCTTCCCCCATCACTAACCATTGAACCCAACTATCTTACTGCACAATTTGAATTGCAAGTATTCTCAATAGTGACAAGATAAAAAGCTACGGCGGCGTTCGTGATGCATGTGAATTTGCCTGTCAAAAGCGAGTGCTGTTTCCAGATCTTTATAATTGCTATATATGTTTGCTTTTTACTGCACTTGTGACTGTCTCAAAGAATGAACGATATTTCAACAAGATAAAAATAATTAAGAATTATCTTGGATCTACCATGTCTACTGAATACTTGGAAGATCTGGGCGTCGTTGTAAAAGCGCGGGCTTCTAAGAAAAACAGAAAACTAAAGTTTAAAGTAAAAATCAACGAAATGATTAAACTTACTTCACTCAACTTCAGGTGATTTTCTGCTAATGCAGAGAGAAGTTCTAAAGAATTAGCCGTACGTGCCTGCATCTGTATAAAGACGAAATGTATTGGTAAAATGTAGGTATTATAAATCTTATATACGAGGTAAATAATAAACCACTTTTGTTTCATTATTGATTATTTAAAGATTTGTGCTTAAGGCTTTTATTTTGTTAATAGTACTACTTTACAAAATTTTTGAAAAAATCTTGTAAAAAGAGCAACTAGATTAGTAATAATGAACAAACTTATACAACCCCCATTTTCGTGTGCATTTTAGACTACGCTCTTATTGTCGGAGTGCGTTTGAATTTATGTCCTTACCTCCTCCACCCTAATCTAAAGACACAAGTTATTAAGCCCCTGTTTGAATTTAGCCATTTTAGCAATTTTATGTTTCCTCTGTTTTATTTAAGTTACCAGTGTTTTCTTAATTATTTTCTTGAGAAGTTGGGGTCGCAAATGGGGGGCATAACGGGAAATTTTCATTTAACTTTATATGCCAGTTCTCACTGCTTGTCAATTTCGAAAATATATACTAAAAAAAGAATGGGGTAAATCTAATTTATTTATTATGATTTATTCATATTTTTCAGTATTGATTTCATCACCATCCAGACCTTGGTTAGCATCGCCAATATTTTGGCGTTTCAACTCTGCAAACATTGCTATCATATCCATCCTTCAAGAGCAAGGTTTGTGACGTCATTTAAGAAATGTTTGAATGCGCTGCATACAAAACAACAGTGTGAAATAACAATTCTTTATATATTGCTTTGAAATTAACATAAAAATTGTACGAAACATGTCGACATCCGCTTCTGAAAACATTGAATTGAACAGTCGGGAATTCGATTTAGAAGACGAAGATCGATCGTCATCAATTCTCCTCCGAAACACTGATGGCGATTTTGAGTACGGCCAAGCTGCAGGGTATGAAAACGAACCACTTGCTGATGATGAGTGTTTAGAAAACTTTAATAGAGAGACAGAAGAAGAAAGACGCCAAATAGAAAAGCTCGAACGCAGAATGCAAAATGAAGTTCCTCTTGATTCTTGGTATGAAAAGTTGGAAAATTTGTTTATTTATTGTTGCCGAAGCTTTTGACAGATAACTTTCTTAGGTGCAATTGTGATAACTGCCGTGTTCCTCTCTTTGTTAGTCCAAAAGAATGTAGATGTTGCCACGAAATTATCAATTGCATGATTGAAATTCGAGATCATATGGTGGTATCCGAATTAGGAAGGCAGCCAAAATGCATCACAGAGCATCCAGGATTTGATTCCATTTGTCTCAATCGATGGGCATTAAATTTAGCTGCCAATCTTTACCAAAGACGAGATGGAGTTAGATATTGTAAAGAATTCTTGGAGCAAAGGTTTGTTACAATTAATAGTTAAATGCTTCTGTCTGGGTTATCTATGAATGCACACTTGCAAAATTTGTATTTTATGGACTCCTATCTTATTTAATGGACCTTGTGTATTATGCCTTTTCAGGTTTTTTCGAGTTGTTGCATATAGGCAATTTACAAGAATGGTACATGGCATTCTTCGAGACTTTCAAAGAATTCCATTTCCAGCTTGTGCTTACCATGTTATTCGAACAACTTTTAATTTAAAAAAAATGAACACTTTGCAGGGTATAAGGAGGACAATTTGTAAAATAACATAACATTATATATTAGTTTAGGTGTTGTATGCATGAGCCCAGCTAGTAGAGATTCAGTGAAGCATGGAATGATTTTAGCCACTCTTGATGTATTGCATCTTTGATTCACACTTATTCTTGTTATACAAAACATACAAAATTACAATTCCTTTTCTTTTTATTCTTTCCATGCAGTCATTTCACACTTCACTGAATCCCAACTAACTGGGCTCATACCACCAGCTCCTAAAAACGGTTACTTTTGGTTTTTTGGACAGTTAATTATATTTTTATGGCCTTTCATCCAATTCTTGCACAAAGTGCAGCGAGGTGCTGCCCTCTCATTTCTCTGATCAGTGATTTTTTCTTGGACAGGTGATACTTCAGCTATATCAAACAAAAAAGTGAGTCAGTTCCAAAAATAAGATTCAAATTAACTCAAAGCAAGTAATGCCTTTTTGTAAAACCTGGCTTAATTGGGGGGAAATGTACAGCTGGCATGCTTTGTCTTCTTGCTTTTTTTGAGATAGCTTCACTTTTTGATTGCTTGTCCAACATGGAATTCATTGGCAATGGAGTCATTCGTAAAAGATCACCTTTGTGATCTCTGTTTCAGATCAATGTTTCCTCATCAATCTCTGAAAAGATCAATGTTTCCTCATCAATGAGTGCAGAGCACAACACATGATATATATCTTCAACATACCCTGGAGGAGCAATGTTCAAATTATTCAAAAGTTTATTTCATGGTAATCAATTCTTATTAAGGCTTTGATTATTATGGCATTTAACACATGGTATCAGTCAGTAGGAGTCATAATATATTAAGTAACCTTACAAAAATCCTGAGCAACTTTTACATTTCTTACAACAGCTTCACCATTTTTTAATTTTGGATAATGCACTTTAACCTGGGAAACTCCATTAACCTCTTGATTATCCCTGTCCAAATTGCTGTTGAAGTGAGTTACAGCAAGGATATGCCTTTACGAAATATAAAATTGCATTCAATTTCTTGAAAGAGTTTAAATTGACACAAAGGAATAAAAACTGTAATGACACTTAGGTGTTTCATCACACATGTTTCATAGAATACCTGCAGAACATTCCAGGAAAGGAGAAGCTGATCATTCTGATAATACAGGCTCATCACAAGTTGTTTCTTCTATTTGCTCGAGGTTCGCTACTTGTACTGGGAATATTTTCTGATTCAACCTCTCTTTTATAATCAGACATCCACTTTCTTTTCATCTAAAATGGCATATATTTATGAAATATACTCTCACACAGATTCCAGGTAAAATGTAGATATGCATATGTATAATTTATAACGTACTCACCATTCTGCGATCTCTTTTTGTAAGTTCATTGTCATCTTTTCGAGGATAAATGCTCGGGCAAGCAATGATTCCGAATTCGTCTCGAATGAGTCGAGGTGCAAAATTACTTTCTGATTTAGAAAGCGAACCGAATTGCCGAGAAAACGAATCTTTCATGAAGTGTTCCGAGCCAACTGCGGAATACTTTGTGGGGACCCACTTATCGCGAGTAGCTTTCACAAAGTTGCCCATCGCTTTCTCCAACGCTTAGCTTCGATTCTTTCGTTGTTAAAAAATGGTATGCGATGAAGTGAAATGCCTTTCTCCGAAGTGGCTACGTTAGAACAACCAAAAACTACACGTCGATTTGGCATTTTTGTATTTGTTTACATGCATAAACTGTGTAAGTTGTTTTGGTGGTCAGTCTTTGTTCCCTAAACACGTCACAAGAAAGTCCCATGCCACGGATTAGAGCTCTCGATATATTTTACTAAACGTTGAAATTCCGGTTTTATTTGCATCTTTGCCGAGAAATAACTCAAAAAAGAAAAAAGTTATTCGAATTTTGTTAAATTCGTATTATTTATCCAAAATCTATTGAGCATAAAAAACTAAAAATAGCTGTATGTTCGCTTTAAGCTAGTTTTGACAAATGCATATCAAACTCATCGACATTTTGTTACGCCACTCGTAATATCCGTGGCAAGATTAGAAATGTTGTTATTTTCTCCATAACTTTGTATCTGCATATTATGTGCAAAAACAATCCTCTAATATTTGACAGATATTATAACTCGTGGATTTAGGTAGAAGAAATTGAGGAGAAAATTGATACTTTCAACAATGAAACAGAATCAAGAATGATAAAGGAGAAGCAACGACTCCAGGTTGAAAATAGCTTCAGGAAAATTGAACGTAGTTGAAGCACCTAGCGTACGCTCGAGAGGTTTGGATGAGGACTCGTGGACCAATGAAAACACGAATGATTCCCAGCATGTTGACGACGATAAAAGTTCTAGGAAGTCACTATAAAGACCACGACAAGCAGAATGTAAACCACAATAACCATGTTGTAATTTATTGATGAAATTCACCACCATTGTCATTATTTCTTCTTCAGTACAAATCAATTAGCTTCGAAAGATTAAAAATCACACGAAAGTATGACACTGACGTAAAAAAGCGTTACTATCAATAAAAGCCTCTTAAGAAATTCCATTAAGATTTTCGTTGACAATTAGTCGATTGCTTTGTGTAATCTTATGTAAAGTTATGCGTAGCTGAAGACTTCAATATGAAAACCTACAAAGGAACAATATTTCAAATCGTTTTCAGGAGATTCTCAAAGTTAAATGTTGAGCCGGACCGCCTGAACAAGCTACCAAAAGTTGTAACCGAAACAACCGATCGTGTGACCGGGTCTTAATACTTTATTGAAGTTCGTGAAAGTGTTCGTTGAATCTGTATATACATTCTCAAGCAAACTAGGCCTGTTTTATCTTAAATTATTTTATTTTGCGAAAATGGCAAGATAATTTATTTGCTGTCATATTTTGCTATATTTTGTTATTTATTTAATATACTGTTTCAATGCTTTATTATAAAAAGACCTATTTACTAAGGATACAAGCCGAAGACATTAACATGTGTTAATTATAGATTGCCATTATAAAACGTTTGCATACCTTGATGTACTGATGTTAGAGAAGAATTTTCAAAAATGTAAGAAAATGTAATAGACAACAAATAGTTGCCTTCAAATGTTTGGTTTAATGTTTAGGTTTATCTACGTTCAATGAATGTAGTTGGAGAGGAGAGACAATGAGAGTTGCAATGGCAAAGGAACATTATCTTGACAGGTAAAGTATCATCAACATAAATAATTAATTAAAGTATTAATCATACAAATGTAATAGCCATGTAATGTATCATTTATTTTTCATCTGTAAACATTTAATTTAGATTAAGAAGAGAAAAAGAAAGTTTTAAAAATCAAGATTTGGTCACACCCAAAATACTTAAATCATCCACTGTAGATAACATAAAATCTTCAATTCCTGTTACAACAAAGAACCACGTAATTTATGACTGTGATAATGTTGATATAAATTTTGTTAAAACACATCATGGACAGGTAAGCCATTTTTTTATTAATATTGAGTATTCTTTCTACTTTTGCATGCTCTTCATATTAAAGTTTGCCTGTTTACTTGATCATTTAATGTTGATTATATTTCTTGCAGAAAGTTGTAGGTTCTAAAGCTCTTGGCTTGGGATGGAGATTTCTGGCAATGACGAGGAAAACAATTCTGAAGAAAATAATCTTGAAGACATTTTCCAGAAGGAACATTTTGAAGGAAGATCAGGCGAAAAGGTGATTGTCAGTTAAATTTCTTGGAAGTTTTCATCAAAATGGGCATTCTTATAAAAGTGTCAGATCTACGTCCTTGCCATATCAAAGCTGATTGGTCAATCTGTAGTTACATAAATTATCGTTTCAATGTATTATGTAATTTCCCCTTAAAGCTTATGGCAATGCAACAAAGATTTGGACACGACGTACGTTTTAAAATGGACGAACGGTTTTTGGACAGTGACGACGAATCGAAATCAGAAAATGACATATATATGGGCGATGATATTGATGAAGAATTAAAGCAGGAAAAGCAGTTATCGTGGAAAGTACTTCATGAAGTATTGGGTCAAACTTTATTGACGATCGAAGATGAGAAAGATATAAGAAATGTTTATCGGTAAGTTTTATCCTAAAGACTTAATTATTATCATGTTAAGTGGTTGGTTTTATTTAAATGTTAGAGCAATCTTTATCTGCTTAGCAATGACTTTATTTATTGTCAAAATCTTTCAAATTCTAGACAACTTAATTGAAACTTTACAATATAACTATTGTTATTTGGATCTTTAGTTCGACAAATGTGTTTTTTTATAAACTTTTATAATGTCCAAATGGATGGCACTATCAATGTTTCGTTACAATAGTAACATTTTTCATTGAAGCAATCTTCAACAGCAATATTGTATCGTAATTTTTATATTTTATTGAATAGTGACTCTATCGATGTTCATTACGATCCAAGTCGCAAAAATCATTCAAAATTTGAAGAGGAGGTTAAGAAAAAGAAAAATAGAGATGAGGCTACACCTGGGACGGAGGATGTCGAATTAAATAAAGAAAATCGCGTGAACTTTTCAAACGAAGGCAAATTACCGATAAAGTCCGAAGAAAAATTTTATGCAGTCTCTGATTCATTAAAAGGATTGTTGGGCAATAACGACAAGGTATGCGATTTTTTCTTTTTTTATTTCTACATTGATTTGTTTATGTTTGTTTAACTTCACGCAAATTCTAAAACTTTCTTCCATAAGGAGAGGAAGGCTTCGTAAAAACAAGATTTAGTTCTTATTTCTTTTGAGAAAATAGTTTTCTGTTTTCTATGACTTTGTCTTTGATAAAAAATGTAATTTTTTTACAGGACGCTGAACTTTTTTCCTTTTTTCTGAATCGAAAAAATTGAAATATGTAAATCGCAAGAATAAAGAAAGAATAAAAATTGACGAATGGAAAGGTCCTGTTAATCTTTCACTGCCATATGACAGCAGTGAGAGTGAATCAGATGATGACTCAAACACGCATTAAAATTTTACTTTTGCAAAGAAGACCAAAACTTTTCTTTTATACAATCCAAAAAATAGAAAAATGTTGGAGTCCTTGTAAGGTAAGATTGTAGCTTTGTTTACAGGTGTATTTGATAAGTTAATGGAATTTTTTATAATTTTTTTATAATTACAATGTAATATTTGTGATTGTAGACTGTACACAAATGAAAAAATTTTTTCATTACGCTTTAAAATCTCTACTCTACTAATATGTTAGATCATGTAGATGGTCAACTAACACTTTTCTCTTTTTTACAGCTGACTGTTCTTCATTTGTAAGGAAAAATTCCGTGGAAAGTCTTACTCAAAATTGGCTAAAAACGAGAAAAGAACTGACTGATGATTATAAGAAAAAGAGAAAGGATGCTTTAAGAAAACGAAAGAGATTTACAAGAAAAACGTAAGGAACAGTTCGATGTTTGTAAACATAAGTTTACCATAGAGGAATTTTAAAAATAGCCTACACAAATGTCTTTCGAAAAGTGTCTTATCTAAAAAAAATATTTTATGACTAATTCTCAAATTTCTATAAAGTAAAATAAATAATAAATCTGTCAATTACAAAGTGCTACTTCTAAGAAAATTGTGTGTCAATTGAAGATCTGCACTATTAACACAGAGCTATAGCATTTTAATGCACTACTGGAGTGCGATACTCGTGCCTTCATTGTTTTTAAATTCTCTCTTTTCCTTTTTTTTGGACTATTATTCTGGAGGCGGATGTAGATATTGAAATGGCTTTTCATGCCTTTTTATTGCCTTACATATATGCATTTGAAAACGCGCTTCGCTTAAATCATTTTTTCGTCATAGTACATTGCTGAATTTTACCCATAGTTGCAACTGAGTAAGCAATTATATTGCAACTGAAGTGCAATTATATTTGTAGCGACTACAATTCACATAAAATTTTCTGTACTGCAACTTCGTATCATAAGAAAAAAGTGTTATACCTTGAGAAGTGTTGCTTTGTGACGAACTAGTTGCTGGTGTAGTACTTGATACAGATTGAGGAGAACGTTGCATTTGATCAAATAATTGTCGAGGTTCTAAACTGCTTGCTCTATCTGTAGTAGCTACGTATTCTTTCTTTGTTTTTCTGATTACCACGTCTTCCGAATCAGTGCTTTCAATTCCCACCTTAGTTTTTGCTTTTGGTGAATGAAATTTCGCAACTTTGTGGAGAAGTATACGCCAATGGGGTGCTGGCAGTGTACAAGGCAACTTTACAAGATATTTTAATTTAAGAAATTTTAACATATTTACCTATGCGTACTTGACAAATTCCGGGACTAGTTCTTTTAAAAAACATTCTATCGATGTGAAATTTTCATACTCCATATCAATCGTATTAGAATTGTTACAATCTCATGACAACTAGCTGCGGCAAGGGAATGTTGATGCTTATTACCGTTCAACAAACTTTAACGTGTTTAGTTACGTTGAAATTGACACCCTGTGATTGGTCAATCGAACATGAAGTTAGGAGTTTTTCAAAGAGTTTATTGAAGAAGTCCGTAGCTGAATTGCTAAATTTGAGCTAATGATTGATGAAATACTTTCGGAACGCTTCTAATGCCGCGACTTTAACGATTCTTAGAAAACATACCAGTATTCAAATCAACTAGTGTGTTAGTATATAATAGCAATACTAAAGACGGTTGATGCAGATGATTGACAATATTTGAAGAATATAATGTGTGACATAATTTCTGAATAGAAGACGTTAAAAGACGGTCCAGCTGAAAGTGTTGACTTTTCAATCAAACAATGAAACGACGAAAGTCAGTCTTAGAACGTACAACCCAGGGTGTTTTGAAGTTGGTCTGCAGCCTAATAGTCAAATAACATACGCTCGAAGCAAACCGTACAGATAAACCAACAGATACGATTCATTAAATTTGAATAATTAAATGCAAGTATCTATTGTGCCCATATTGCCAGCTATGTGCATATATTGAATCTTTGTTACTAGTGCATAAGCTTTTCTGCTCTTACAAATTTTAACAACAAAAATATGCAACATATGCACCAATGAAATTACATATATGTGATTAGGCTTTGAAATTCATTATAGGTCAATTGTTGAATTCTGAAAGTCTTCCACCCTATTTGTCGAATACGATTTTTGCATTTCCGACTTTTGGTTGCTTGGTTAGACGGTCCAATAATTTTGTTGGCCGGATATATAGGCGTTGGAACAAGCAGTTGTGTTATCCAGTACTTTTATCGATACTTTTTGCATAATTTTGCGTATTTTTGTACATATTATTCCCAAGTAGGTATAAGACATTTTCCTTTACAAAACAATAAAAAGTTGAAAAATATGTGAAATAGATTACTTTTATATAATATGGTGTAAAGGAAATGTAGACGACGGCTACATTGATGCGTTTTATTAGTATAAAATCAGTGGCGGATCTAGGGCTAGTCAAAATAAATTACTGCTGTGCACATTTTTCAATATATTTCCATTTCTAAACCTTCAGAGACAAGTCCATTGGGGAAATTATATTCTTTAGAAATTCAAGACCAATAGTGCTTTTCTGAAAGTGCTTTGAATTTCAAATTAAGTAGCTTTAATTTTGTCACTCGCTGCTGCTCGCTGTGACTACCCCAAGATACGCTACTGTATAAAATGAAGTATATCGCTCACATGGATTAAGTTTTTTTCGAAATGTTGAGCCTTTGTTTTTTTCATGCTTTGTGTATTGTGCAACGAACCATAAGAAACGTTTACTAGCGAAATGTAGTCTACCTGCTTCTAAGCGAAGAGCTGAAAACGAAAGGAACTTTTAAAAGAGGCAAGTAAGTACAAGGCAAGTATGGATATTTCTATACATCTTATATTACTTGTATTACACTAGACCGCTTTTGTCAATCCGCCGCTCCCCAACTGAGAAATTCTTAAAAAAGGCCTGTCATATCTTCATTAATTTTTTTAACCAACTGTCTGAGGCCGTATAGTATAAAACAAATTCCGAAGAAGCAAGACATCTTGAGATTGCAAAATATGAATCAAAACAAGACGAGAAGTAAACTGTAAATTTTCGACTTTATTTCAAAGTCATCCTCAGACAGAATGAAAGGATGACTTTGAAATAAAGTCGAACATTTACAGTTTACTTCTCGTCTTGTTTTGATTCCTATTTTGCAATCTCAAGATGTCTTGCTTCTTCGGAATTTGTTTTATACTATACTTCTTTAAATTGTCGGCTGGTCATGATTTTTGTCTGAGGCCGCTCACTTAATTCTGTTCAAACCATCCGTATCATTGGATCCGACAAATTGAACCGTTCGACTGAGTGTCTCATTAAAACTACTTAACTTTGAAATCAGCCGAGAGCCGACATTCAGAGTTTGCATGATTCTGCAGTAATTTATCCTCCAAGACCTGTATAAACGCCATTGTAAACAATACTACATACCAATTGCAGCTACTGTTCATTGCAAATGTCAGTTGCACGTTTAAACCTCTCTGGGAGTCAATTATTCCTGAATCATTCAAATTCTTAACGTTAGCTGATCTTAAAGCCTAGTTTTAACTAGCGACATAATCATAAGGACAAACAAAAGACAAAACAAATTCAACAGAAAGCTATGAAGAGACTGAGACAATCATCAGCATAGGCATAATTAAGTATAAGCCCGGCAACTTAACATAAGCATGAGGTAGAACAAAACAAATTGGAAAGAAAACCCTTTTCTTTCATTTCCTGTGGGCTGTGAAGAATGTGTTTGGCTTTGTTTTGTCGAATGTGCTTTTGTCGTAAGTGGAAACTAAGGTCAAAAAATAGCAGTTTTTTTGACACACCTAATAAACAGAATGTAGAAATCACCTCATTGTTTCTTAACCGCTGTTATTAAACAGTTAATTTCAATAAATTCCCTTGTGTGTGATCACTTGCGTTTAACAAAGGTTTATGAATCATGAGATTATTTCTGAGTCGTATCACGTTTTGTTGAGGTAAGGGGAGGAGCATCCTGTATCTGTATAGTCGTTTACTACCACAACAATGATTGTGTAGAACAACGGACATGTTTTATGTTACTATATGTAAATCGTCTAAAAGGTTAGTATAGTCCTGAAAAGAACTGTTAGTGTCAGTGTAGATGCTGACTGACGTTTCGACAAACTTAGTCGGTAGTCATCTTCAGAGTCAAGTAAAAGGTAAAAGCCAAGTTAGCCATATTTGTTTTCTGTACTACAGCTGTAAGGTTGTCGAAAAATCAGTCAGCACCAGCAGTCCTTCTCAAGACTCGACTAATCTGGACGATCGATATCTAACGATGCTCCCGGGCTCAAACAATTCACTTTACGACCTGTTTAGTTTATACATACAACAATTTGCTTGAAATTAATCTACAAAGAACACAGAATGAATATTTTGGCAATTTTCTCTACTTTTCTCAATGAGACAGGGACCAAGGAATTATGTAAAAACGTTTATAACAATATAATCATCTGTTGAAGTTTGGAGTTTGGTAAATAAATAATTTGCAAACATTATTATGTGCATACTTATTTCATGCATGCCAGCACAAACAGCTTGCTGTATACATCAGCCATTCCTAAACGGGGCCAGACTGTTCCGAACACGCGTACGAACATGGCTAGCGAAAAAACACCTCTTTTGATCAGTGGCGACCAAGCACCATCGGTTGAATATGCTCCTAAAAGTGGGGCCGGGTAAGTCTGTTTATTGCCGAATGTTCGCGTTTCAAATTATTTATAGTTGAATTTTCGTTGAAGAAACGTAATAAGTGTCGCATTTATAACTCATGTGAAATATGGGCTCTGTTGCGGAATTTCGTCGTTTTTGTCAACACTTTGATTTATGTTTGAGATAGCCAGTTGGGAAATATTGGTATTCAGCTAACTGTAATGAACAGCTGAAAGAATTCAACCTGTTGAAGTTTCGTCTACACGATTAAATTAACCACTTAACAACGAGAACAGTTCGTTAAGACAGCTTGGTACTTTATCAAGGAATATGAAACAATTTTTGCACATTTATGTTTACGACGGCAAAGATTGTCGTGTATTTAATTTGAACGTTTGCCGCTCACGAAACCGACCGTTTTACTTTCGGCTTTCACGAGGATTTCATATTAAGTGCCCGGCTTTTGTCATTATCTCATTTGTAAGCTTCTAAACTAAACTCATTTGAATTGGTAAGCCCCAAATTTCGAAACTCATTTTGGTTGCTGGTGTTATTTGAAAGCTGATATTGATTTGTATTTCTTTTATTTTAGTTTATTTTAGCTAATTTTAAGCATGTTTGACTTTTAACGTCAACGTCTCTTAATGGTGCTGTTGAAATAATAACATATGACATGTGACCTCTGCTTTTATCTTTTTTTGTGTGTTTGCCTTTACCATGTCTTCCAAGCAATGATTTGCATAGTCAAATAGATGAAATAAATCAATATCGACCGGTTGTGTAACAATATCATCAGCAGCAGGTCACGGCATGACATTTATTTCGGTTCAATCCTATGTCCGTTTTATAGTGCATATAAGTGTATTATACTTGCGTGCCTTTCGTTTATTTTCTAAACAGCTGATGACAACTACGTTGGTTTGAAGTGGGTTGGTTTCAACCCTCAAAACACGTGTCGAGGGCTATTTGATTGACAGTTTCTCATGTAATTTTAAATATAATTGTGGTTGATCAGAATAGTGTATTTCATATTGTCATGCATAGTTGGCCAGGAATAGTTACTAGCTTGTTGAACGCTTTCATTTTTGCCCGTGATAAAATAGAAATTTAGTGTATCGTATTTCATCGCAAGAGACGCGGTCGGAAAGTTAATAGTCAAGTGGTTTTCAAAGAGGAAGTAAGCAAAAACTATACTGACAAAGACCGAGAATATTTTCCACTTGCTATTCCTTTTTTAAAAGTTGATTAGATCTAAATACGTTTACAACATAATTTGCATGTGTCTTTAAACCTGCATTGCTTTCCATTATATGTCTTTTAACACAGCTGTTCCCATCAAAGTTGCACGGAGAATAAATTATGTTTCATTAGTCTGTCTTGGATACTGTCATTATGTCATATTCTCGTTTACAGCTACCGCTGCTTGCTTTGAATGTCACGTAAGGCGAGACTTAACATTGGAAAATAGTACATTTACCTTGACTTCTAGATATATAGAAAACGTTTTTCTCGCTTTACTTTTATGCGCAAAGAAAATTATAATATTTTTAGGTGGAATCACAGATTGGCTTTGACCAACTGTGTTTGCACAGACATTCTTGTAAGTATTCACAAATAACATTAAGCAGAGCCATTTTACAGCAAACAAAGATTCACGACAAATTCTAATAAATTTAACGTAAATAATGATGACGTTGTAAATTTAACAATTATGATTCACACTTCATTTCTTTTGCAGAATATGTTAGTAAACATAGGCTTTTGACTCATAGTATTGCAGTGTCAAAGCCATTGTTTTTGTTTTAGAAGGTTTAGCGCTATGCAGTTGTGAATTTATCAATTTGGCAAATCACCCATATAGTGTATGTTGAAAAAGGAATTTTGTCCGTTGGGATGACATATAAGCAAATTGACGCATAGTCTAAATTTTCATTATGCAATGTGACGTCATTGATGGTGCAAAATTGAGCGTTACAAAAATTTTCATATCTTGAGAATGTAAAGAGATATGCATAAATGGAGAAACTTTGCATAGGCCTTCTAAAATACAAATTCATATGCTCTTTATGAGACACATTGTACAATAACAACTTTTCCATTCATACAAGTACGAACCTTGTCTGTTTTTTTTGTGCGAATTTGTATAACAAGTGCTGTATAAGTTAATGTTCCATAGAGGGTATTATTTGAATACAGTGAAGCCATGATATCGTAAAAATAGTTTTGACGTTGTCGTGTGACGTCATAGATATTCGTAATGTATAACTGAAAGGACTGATGAATGATATAGATATTAATTCATAGGTCTTGTGAGTTTTGACCTCAATGTGAATGTCATAATTGTTTCGAGTATATTTACACCAGGAATTAAAGTAGCCGGATTAAAAATATAAAGACTGCGATCAATAAATCCTCGATTTCTTAAGTACACTGAAGCCAAGCCCAACCGTAGCTTTTTATGTCGAAAACATTGTTGTTATTTTTGGTATAGCTAGTTCCAAATATGGTAGATGGCTCAAAACAGTACAATTTTCCAGCAAATAAAACAACATTAAATTATTTTTGATCTCCACTCCATTTTTGTTTCTTTACTTGTACACAATATCAGTTGTTAACCAATGAAATATAGTGATAATTTTCTTTCCACTTACGTATCAGAAAACATAGCTACTATAAAGATTAAGAAATATTTTTTTCAAATATGAATAAAGTGATTCGTCAATAGCAGCCTAGCGGGTAGTTTCAGCTTTGAATGACCAATCATTTAAACTTTGTGGAAAAGTTTTGAATCGAACATCCCTCAAAAAATGAAGCATTTAATTATGAGTTTGTATACTACTCATATTTAAACTTACTATTTTTTCATTTAATTGTTCAGCAGTGGTGATGATGCAGGCCCGCCTAACGTTTCAGTGGGAGAATTGGTAAGTGATAAACGTATAATCGTTAGAATTCACCACATGTTTGACACAATATGTTTAATGGCCAGGTGCATGGTGATAAGAAATTTTTGATGGTGGTGTTATTTTAATATAAGACAATGAAGTTACTCAAGTTTTTCTCAAGTAACGCAGTTAGCTTTTAAGACAACAGTTACGGAATGACAATTTTCAACACCCGCTTCATACTGTATTGTTTCAAGTAAAATGCTTTCTGGGAATAAAATTCTCAATATAGAGATATTAAAACCTGCAAATCGTTTTCAATGAAAGCCATAACCGGTTTAATTTGAAATATATTTCTTTAAGAAGGCAATTGATGATGTTCCGACACATAGTGGCTACTCTGCAGACGACTTGAATGAAGACGAAACGTCGCTTTTTTTGTTGACTTTACAATTCTCTGCGCACGCCATTATATGTACGCCCAAAACAAAACTAACCGATATTTTCCTGATGCAAATGTTTTTAACTATAAACCTATAAACCATAATCCCCACATTTCCGGTAAACCAGGGTTGACTGCACGAAAGCCAAATAGTGTTATAAATTTATCTTCATAACTTTTTTGGGCCTAAAAAAAGTGACTTCGCACCGGAAGTGACGAAAATTAGAAATAATACAAGAAACTAACCTTTTACAAACAATACAAAGGATGCTAAATCTATACAAACAGAAGAGAAACCTATTCTTCAACATAGTGCTTAATGCAATATATGCTTTGAAATTCCTATATGAAAGCAAGAAACATAAATATTTTGACATTGTTATTTTCAAAATTTTACAGCTTCCATCGCTACTTTGCTTAAGAGGATTTAGCATTGCAATCTAAGATTTTGGAGGCTATGGCTTCAAAACTTGTAATCCTACCCTCTTGTTAGTATTTGATAAAACGACTGAATTTTTTCAAGTGTTTTGATCAATTTGATGGCCCACCCCACGTGCTAAGAAAACCGAAAAAATCACTTGCCTTCGGCTCGTGTTTCGCAGCATTCGTTAATGTTTGGATCAGGTCATCCTGAAAGAAATAGTTTCATTGGAATAATTTAGCTAACACGACTTTTCGTCTAAGACGTCGTGAAAATGGCGAGGCTTGGGCCTTTTACTTCCGGTTCTATCTATGACGGCAGTCGTGTTGACGACAGTGACGTGAAAAGGCCTACTTATATTAATTTAAGAAAAAACTGCGAATGTTTTGAACCGCAGTCGATACACCATTATCAATTTCACTTAGTATGATTTTTCATCCAACTTACTCATTCAAGAAAAAACTATCTTAGCCATTTAATGCGTTTGCACTCACAATTCAACGACAAATGAAACACAATGAATTTCAATGTGTGACATCTAATAAAGCATAAGCAAAAGTTCCCATTTCGTTTTTCAAAAAGTTTCTACTTATCAAATGAGAGTTGTCAAGTACTTATTTACATGCTTTCCGACAATGCTTCCATGCATCACCAGCAATTATACATGTACTTTTGCAAGGATGCGTAGCCAATAACCATTTAAAGTATAAGCTAACGTGCTTTCTCTTGTTCTTGGAAAGTTTGCCAAATTTAAGCATTCCCCTATCGCCCCAATCCCAAATATTGATCAATTTTACCAAAATGATTCATGATGGGAATTTAACTTTTTTGGAAACGAAATGTTGCTAACAATATTTTTGCATCTAAAATGTTGGTACATAGAAATTCTTCAAATGACGTGTTCACAGTTAAGCTGAAGAAAAAAAAGTGTATTACATTTTTCTGTTTTAGCTCCGTTTTTGCGAAAGACGGGACAAAATATACCTAACCATTGGTGTAATTGGATGTTTACTTTACGGATTCCTCGCACCAGGGCAATTCATATTGTTTGGTCATATGACGCAAGACTTAGTTAAATTTTCCCTTTGTAAAAAACTAAACTGTTCTCATCCACTTGATGTGGAGGAATCTATGACTAAAGTGGCAATAGGCTTCCTTGGTTTAGCTGTAGCGAACTTCGTCTTATCGTGGCTTGCCCTTGGACTGTTTGGATTATCAGCTGAGAGACAAGTACATCGAATGAGGCTCGCTCTAGTTCGCAATGTAATCTTTCAAGAGATTGGTTGGTTTGACGCTCATTCTAGTGGAGAAATACTCACTCGACTCTCAGAGTATGTAAATGCATTACTTTTTACGGTTGATTAACATTTGAAAACGTTGCACCCAGGTTCAATGCATTTGCTTTGACAATTGCTTATTTTGTTATTTGATTCCTTCCAAGTATTAACCAGTTTTAAGATCTGCCTGCCACACTTTTTTGATGCAGTTTTGTAAGACGACTTTAGCTGGGATATTTTGCGCCCAAAAAGTGGTAAAATACGTAATATTTTTACATAATAATATACATGAAAAAATTTCTCAGTTCTGGCTAGTTAAGAGCAGTGCAATTTATTGTAAATACCATTGTAAAATATAAGAAACACAGTGCAAAATAAAAAAGAAATACAGTACAATTTATTTTGGAAAACTGTGCTCTTGATTTGTTAGTCAGAGAAAGAAGTGATCCAAGAGCCAATCATGATACAATATTTCGAAGGCGGGAAAGTTAAGTTATTGTAAACAAAGCAATTACAATGGCTGGCGAAGTTTTAAGTTGAATTTCTTTTGCGCTTTATTGTTTTATTTTATAAATGTGTATATAAAAGTGGGGTCGATCATTGTTCGATACTTCACAACAAACTGTCATACATCGCATGCTTCAACTTTTGAAGAAGAGAATTTTGAAACAAATAATTTCACTGCAATCATACAACAAGAACATCTTCAATTTCCAAATCTGTCATGATCTAATCAAACTGCGTAATTTGCTTAAAACAAAACCTGGAAAATATTTATTTTATAGTTGTGATGCATGGAGAATGAGAATCCTTATTAAACCACTTGTAGATCTCTGGTAATTATGGATTTTATTTGCAATGTTATGTTATTATAATTTAGAGACATAAACAAGATTGCTGACGGTATTGGTTCCAAATTTGGCAGGATATTTTGCAGTCTATTCGGCTTCATGGCTGGATATATTGTTGGTTTTGTATACTGCTGGAGGCTTTCACTGGTAATGCTGGCTCAACTTCCGATGCTATTTTTTGTGGGTGGAATAATGGCAACGGTAAGCATCTGAAATAGTTTGAGCTGAATAAAAACTTCACTTCAGTGTCAATTTATTTTAATTTTTTTGTTTACAACTCCGAACTGTTTATTGATTATTCCTCCCTAAGGCTTAAAAATATGCTGTATAAAATAATCTGACATTCTGTAAACATAGTTCCTATACATTATCCATGCATTATGGGAGAGAACAAAAATTCGGAGTTTGTATGGCATGCAAATAACATGCCAAAGATTGTTTAAACTATTTCTTCATATCATTGATTTTTTGAAACCAATGGTTTTCTTTTAATTTTTTGTTATTTTAGGTTTGAACTGTGCAAGCACAGCCACCTAATTTGAGTTTATAGTTGTTGTCTATTTTTGATGTCATTTAGTACAAAAGTGGTGTACATTAACATTTTGGTTTTGAAGATTTACACTTTCGCTACTCTATATGCTGTTTAGAAATTCATTCCTTAACCTTCAAAACGTCAAGGTAAATCATAGAAACCTATTTTCATGTGGTGATTTTTTAAAATTGTGCTTTCAATAGATAACAGGTAGCTACACGAGTAAGGAGTTAGAAGCTTATTCCAAGGCAGGCCACATTGCTGAACAAAGTATCTCATCAATAAAAACGGTATCAGCATTTGGTGCTGAGAAGAAACAAGGAGAGCTGTAAGTATTTAGTGTAATTGTACTAACTGGAATCTTTGTTAGACGGACTTTCATCGTATTATAAGTGTCGTAATGCGTTCGATACCGACCTCCGTTATTCATCCGTCGTTTAATCAGTGCCCCCCCTAATTTTGCTTCTCAAGAAAAAAGATGAATAGTTTCATTATCAACTCTTATACGATAACCATGAGAACTTAAGCAATTTTACTGGTCGAGAGCTATGATTTATGAGAGGTCATGGAAATCGACTTGACGTCAAAGATTTTTATTTTTAATAACAAACTAACGGCGAAACTGTTGGAAAATTTACCTGAATTTCATCCAGGAATGGGCAAATGATTATATTAAGAAGACCTAGTTAAAGTAGTTGACGCATTTGACTAAAAACGAAAACCCAGTTTTCAAACGTTGATTTGTACTTCGTCTTATATAACACAATTTAAACAACATTGATCAGCAATTCCTTGTTTATTCTGTTAGCCAATCACATTGTAGCACGTGACTTAAGCAAGCTAATTGCATTTCTTCAATCCTATAGATCATGCACGAGTGATACTTTCAAAATCTTGACTTTTTGTTTTTCAAGTGTTTGGAAAAACAAAAACAACTTGTTTTAGCTTCGGCGTGACTCGTGGCCACTTTTTTAGTTCTTATCAAAAATGACGTCTTACCTGTGTATCTATAACTGAACAGACAACGGTTAAATGTAATCGATTTTTTAAATATTTCCTAACTTACACAAAGTAATTTTCATGCACTTACGCATTTGATCAGAAAATACTGCATATAGTAATTAGTTGATATTACGCCTTCAATTACTATACAAATGATATTTCTAATCATATTTCTAATATTTCTACTATTTCAAACGATATTTCTAATATTACAAAAAATACAAAAAGTATTTTATTTCCTTAGCAACATATTAAAATTGCAAAGTTATACCAATGCTGCTTGTACTTCGTAATTTGACTTCACATAGCTGTGTTTTTCTTATTAAATGATATTTCAAAGTAATTTTCTAACTAAAGCTCATCCACCCCTTTTATTTCACTCCACGACATTCCCTATGTACAAAATCAAAATATTTCTGAGTCAATCAAAGCGTGCCATTTTGGCTGGCAATGACATTTGCTGTATAACAATAATATTTATTAGCATGGTTTCGAGTGCAGTTTAAGAAAAAAGTGCTCGAGTGAGTTTTTCAAAATCTATCAAAATTGCACGAATCCAAAGCGGAAGGTCGAGCACAACTTGAAGTCTTTGAAAAATGCACGAGTTTGTAGCTCTACTTTATCTATGATTTTAAATCTACCTTAAAACAATTTTGGACTTTTAATCAATTTTTTATTCGATTTTAATTTTACCATTTATTTCTTTAATCTTTTTTTATCATTTTCTTTTGTGCATTTTGACTGCTTTTTCCTTTTTCCTGACGGAATTTATAATACAGTCAATTGTGTGATTCGTCGCATTGTCTCTTGAACAACTACTTACAATCGACTTTGTCTCTTATAGCTACGAAGAAAATCTGGCCACCGCTAGTAAATTTGGCGAAAAGAAAGGCATAGGACTAGGAATTGGAATGGGTCTTTTCCAACTTGTATTGTACTCCAACATTGCATTGTCTTTATGGTAAGTGTGATATGGTTATCTGGTCAAATGGGTATGGTCTGTGTATGCTAATAAATTGGTGTATGCAAAGAGACTAGCGCGATTCAGAGCCCTATCTGTTTGTAATAGTTCGGAAGCGTATTGTCCTCTGCATTTTGCTTTATGATCACATCATGCTTTAATAAATATGGTTATATGGGAATGACTCAAAAACACACACTTTTTCGTTCAGTTGAAAAAGATTCGTTTCCTTGTTTGCTATATTTGAACTACCTGTATATTTCATTAAAACATTTGAATGTAAAATTTCGGATCACATGAATACTAAGGTAACAACTAAATTTATATAATTCGTGAATGTGAAAATTTACATAAGATAGCAAAAATAGTATAACTCAAGCTCTGCAGTTCTCTTTGCCAAATTTCATGAAATGTTGTCACAATTGTGTCACATTCCTGTGAATATTTTCTGTTTTTTGCGAAAAACATTTGCAATGAAAACACCAAAAATCCCCAGTCACTCGAATGAGTGAAGAATGGAG